GAATAATACAAACAGAAAGCAAAATGCTTGAGAAAACAAACATAAAATGGGATATCACTAAGACTGGTTATAGGAACCAGCAAATTGGGTGGTTGTCTGGAGCGCCAAAAAAGAAAACTAAATCCAAAAAATGCCTGACATGTAATTATTTTGTTCAGGAATGTCTGGTTGCAACCATCTTACTGTTGTGGTGGGACACATAAGTGTCACGGCTATTATGCCTGAGTTTTTGGTCAAGGTAGCGGCGCTCAGGACACAGGTATAGTGATACACATGTATAATATTATACTGTACAGTACTTTGCACATGTGTATAATTATTTGCAATGCATATTGATGTATTTAAAGACCTTTGAATCCGTTAAATCATTTAAGATATACAGTACTGGTGCTGGTGCCTGCACTTCGGCATCTCAGCTACCCTCGAGATTGGAGCGCCTGAACTTGCCTAGCTTATACTACAGACGGGCAAGGGGACCTAGTTGAGGTTTATAAGCATCTCAGGGGGCACTACTCAGTTGAGTGTCCTTACTTGGAGCTGGCGGACGCTCGCCCCACAAGGGGTCACAGCTCAAGATTGAAGAAGCCGCAAGTCCGGAAAACCGTGAGGGCAAACTTTTTCGGAGTGAGGGTTGTAAACTCTTGGAACAATCTACCAGAAAGTGTTGTGACGGCACCGAGTGTGAGCTCTTTCAAGAGAAGACTTGACCAACACTGGAGCGGGTTCAGGTACATTCAGGAGCCGCATGCCCAGTATTTGCCAACAGTGCGTGACAGAGACGTGACGATCGCCCGGGGCTAACCTTGGTGAAGAATATAAAGGAAAAGAGTGGACCGATTAAGTGATGGCGAAGAGGATAAAAGTAAAAGTAATAAAAGTAAATGATAATTCACTAATATTGATTACTATACTGATATTTTAACATTGTACAGTACTATATTAACCAATAGTTAAGATTACAGAACCTTGGGTTGTTATGTGATGACGTGTCACTCTAGACCAGGGGGCACCAAACTACGGCCCGCGGGCCGGATCCCAAGTCCTTCCCCGGCTTGTGGTAGATCCGCCTACGCTCTGACGTTACCAGAGCTTTCGTTCTGGCTTGCAAGTATTGAACAGAATGATTATGCGGCCCGCGCTCGTCATTCTTTCAGTTATCCGGCCCACTGTGAAAAAAGTTTGGTGACCCCTGCTCTAGACTGATAAATTTTCAGTAGGGGAAATTTATTATATACTGTATACATTATTATAAATGGGCTGTATATTGATAAAATGTAAGTTTTCCAACGATGCAAATATAAGCAGTTTCTCTGTTGCAATGATGAACTATACAAGAAAATTAAAAATGGTGAACATTTCTCAGCAGACGGCTGGTTCATACAAGGACCAATAAAAGTGATTGTTTTTGGTGGTGTCTCAGATAAGTTACTTCTAGGAACTTCTGTTATTAACAATTGAAAGCATACTTATGAATATTTGCACTCACACAAAAACTAAATACATTATCTGCAATGTCATAAGAGATGGTTTGTGACAACATTCTGATTACAACTAACCATTCAAATGGATTGAATGAAAGTATACTTTACTTTTTAAGAGAATGCTAAATAGATTTACAACACTGTAGAGGTCAAGGTTTTTGGTTCATGAATCATATTGGATGTTTCTTCATAATTTAAGTATGTATACAATACTGATTACAAATCTGTCCTTAGTTTTGCTGTATCACATCTAGTTTTCAAGATATTGCTTATACTGTACCTAGATATTTGAAGTAAGCTGACTGACTTAGCCAGGAATCTTAAGCTCTCTGAGTAAAAGACAAAATTTTGAATTTCAAGATTACAGCTGTGGAATCTGCACGAGGATGTTCATGTTTCTCTCTCAAGAAAACGTTGAGTTTCATTAAGCTTTTCAGTGTGGAGCAGTTCTGTGTACTGTATTACTGCTGTGGTTTGGTGGTCTTTTCGATGCACAAGGTCATAAGGCTGATCCATTACTGTACGGGTATATTTTATTGACAGCTCCAAAACCAGTTTGGAAGCTGTTTTTCTTAAAAATGGAAATCAGTTACCTAGCATACCAATGACTCACCCAATTCATCTAAAAGAGTCCTGTGGTACTTAAAATCATCAGATATACTGTACTTAATTTCAATGGCATATACAGTATAGTCTAGATTTACGCGGTCAAATGAACCGGTGGAGGTCCGCGTAAAACGACAAATGAACCGGTGGAGGTCCGCGTAAAACGAGAAACGCGTAAACGAAATAACAGCACTTTTTCCACTTTTTCCGACACAATACGTACCTTGTGATAAAAATAACATCATAATTTTATGATGGTATTCACACACATAATATCTAAACAAAAACTACAAATCTAAAGGTGTTTAACACTTACTTTAGTAGAAGAGATGGGTCGGCACACGTGGATGGCGGCTGGTTCCGAGGCAGAGGGCAGATTAATGGCCCTCCGGTGAATCACTTTCACTACTCGCAGAGGTTTGCAAGGCCTCCCTGACAAACCCCTCAAAGTCCATATCCTCACTGTCACTATCACTGACTTGGGCTGGCTGTGGTTGAGGTGGGTTGCGGGCGAAGAAACCAGTAATACTACGTTGACGACTAGCATTGATGTTGTCGTGATAGATCTGGACATACGGATTCATAATTTTCGACAGAAGGTTATTAGACACTTCATACCGATGCTTGACTGTGTCTTTGTCAAGGATGAGCTTAATTTTCTCCCCCAACTCGATGATTTCCTTCACATAACCATGGCTTGGTCCAGGTAATTCAAGGTTTTTCTGGGGTGATGGGTCCAGCGGAAGCCATTGTGAGGGGAATAGCGGGCACAAGAGAGAACGATATATGTGGACTGAGAACATTGAGACATAAGAACAGGCTTGGCTAGGTCAGCGACTTCTACCCTCTGGTGACAGGGCACGTCATGTTACATTAGACCAATCACAGCTAGCGGCGGAGGAAATGCGTCGGTGGTAAGGATGCGTGGCCCAATCACAGTCCAATACGTCATATGATGTCAGTGATAACGTAAGAGCGACCTAATGCCCACCCTGCCCGCGCCGCTTCCCGTGTAAATGATGCAATGACCAGCGTAATTCAAAATTTTGATTCTGGCAAGGTGCCGCGTAAATGACCAAATGCGTAAACAAAATCCGCGTAAATGCAGACTATACTGTACAGTGGAATCATAGGCCTACTTAGGGACACACAAGATGGTTTAAATTTTTTTGTTTTGTTTCTTGTGGGTGTAGGACAGCCATGGTGGAAAAGAACATTACCAGAGGAATAACTGGGCCCCATGTAGGAATCACATTCCTGGTAAGAAAAGGGTGCAGCATGAATCACTTTTGATCTCACACTTTGTGTACTTTCCACCCTTGTACACCAAGCAAGTGTAAATGAAAAATTTTATTAACATAATATTTAAAGACGGTGAAGATTTCAAGTAGTACAGCACTCCTGTCAGAAATTCCTGAACATCAGTACAGGTAAATTAAAATCTATGAAGACATACACCTGTACTTGAGGTCCTTCATGACACAAGGAAGATTAAATCCTTGGCAGTTTAGTCAACAGAAAATAACCTTGTAAAAATATACAGTACTAGATATGGTATAGCAAATGCTATGAAAGCATTTGTACATTTAAAGTTGAGCAAAAATGTTTTACTTTAGATAATGTATGTTTGTCTTTGTCTGTACGTATTTGTGTTTAATTTCTTAAATCTATTTGCAGCAAATTCTTTTTTTCCTTATCCAGGTTTATCATCGTGAAATTAACACAGAATGTAATACAGTATTGTATACCTCAGGCTGTACAGTGGTCAAGATTGTGTACAGGTGGATAAATTTCAATGTCTTGTTGTTGCATTTATTTGTTAAGTTTTTTTCAGTTGTGTTTTGTTTCACTTATTTGTATTAAATTTTCTATTCATTCTTATAGTTTGTACCATGAAATAAATAAATACGTACTGTATTATACAATACTGTACACTATTATGCATTTGATGATAGACTTATGAGTAATAATGAAGTGTTTAAACCATGCTGCAGGCTGAATATATATCTTTATAAATGGTCTTAATAAGTGTATAATTGTTTGTTAACAAAAACTGTGCTGAAACAATTCTGTGCCCATCATTGAGTTGACATTGTCAGTGGTGTTAAAACATTTTGGATAGTATAGTATTGTATTACCGGGTATGTTTCTCTTAATAAATTTTATGTAGATTTTTTTTATTATTTATTATAATAATAAAGGCTTTGAATGTCAGCCATTGCATTTAAACTTTTTTCTTTTACCAGCAATATGTGATAAATTCTATATTACTATACAGTAAAGTGTTTATTGCTTTTTACTCATTATAAAAAATGCTGTATTAAAGTTTTATTTGTATGTACTGTACTGTATGTCTTAAGGGCATCAAAGTTCAGATTACTTGGATGCCAACAACTCTAAAGATGGCCGTGGATATAACTAAAGATTAATATAGAAACAGAAAATGACAACGTATGTACCACACCAAGAATACAACGCTACAGTAATGTATATAAAGCAGAAATAAAAAACTGAATATAAATATAAATAATACAGTAACATAGTTATAAAGAACATGACTCATATTAGGTAAAAGGAGTGCAGATATCCTACATTTATGTCTAGTATGACTGCACTATAGGTCTTGTAAAGTTCATCATCAAAAGTCACTGATAACATTCTTCTCTATGCATGTAAAACTGCACTATGCATAACACAAAGATTAGGGATCTTCACTTCTTACAACAAATGATTAAACACCCGAATACTGAATAAGGGTGGAGAGATTAGGTTAGATTTCTAGTTTTAAATTGTCTCATGATCCTCGGTTGGGTTGAGTTGGGGTTAGGATAATATTAGGGTGTTTAATTGGGAGTTCCTAATCTTCAAGAAATCTGAAAATTCTTACACCTCAGGTTCATAATTAAAAGTTAATGATATAATATATTTTATTATGCATATATAACTGCAACATGCAGAGCACTGCTGGTGTCTGCTGCATGAGATTCTGTGCATGAGTACACTGTGCTGGTGCCTCTAACACCCAGCTCAATGGCCAAGGCTGTTACTCAAATGGAAACTGATGGCTCATGAACACAGGAAGAGAACGATACAGGATTACTTTGTGATTCTTTGGTTTTATCCATAAAGTTCCTGAATTTTTCACTTTAGAAATCTGTCCAGAACAAGAGAGAGAGAGAGCAACAATCTTCAACTAATGAAAATAATGAACCATTCATCACACTTTAATAATCAGCCTTGAGTTGTCCAGTTTCATAATCACAACTGGAGAGAATTCAATCCCTGAACACTTGAAAGTAACTTCATTGAGGCACTATTGATTCATAGTGTTCCCTTGACTCAGTACTAAAACATGTTCTTAAACTGGTGAAATGTAAATGCATGAAGAAATTATGAACCATAAGTCAATGAATTCACTTTCAAGCTCATATAGTACACTACTAAAATTCAAATATTAATTCAACAATCTTTAAGTCACATATTTTTGGTGTTAAGCGAGTCTCCATAGGCAAATAAGACTCTACAATATGTTCACAATTAACAGCGGGCAAGTCACTGGAACTTCAAATTTTTAGTGATGTATATATGAGACAAAAATAAAAATCACCTCTATCAAAATTCTGCAAATAAATCTAATCTTTTATGCAGTTTAATACTACAGGAGTTACAAAAATAGTTGGCAACTAACATCTCTGAAGCAGTTGGCATAATACAGTACAAAAGACTAAGAAAAATGAAGATCAACCTCTGCATCTACTTCCCATACAAAAATTATTTTTATATAAAATACAATTTTAATATATAGTGCATAAGTCTTTTAACGTGGGTTTGATTTCCAGTTTTAATTTGTCTTGTTACAAACTTTACACACGGAAAATATCTCTTCCTCCTGGGTGTTTCCTGGAGGTAGGGAACAAAAGTTCTTTAACACAAGGGAAGGTTATCAGATGTCCTATGAGTAAGTGGGAACATCTTACTAGATAATATATGAATTAAATGTTGTTTACACTGTCATTATCTGATAGTCTGCACTTCTGATGATTCCTGAACTCACTCCTCCATTAACCCAAACAGTATGAAAATAAAACAAATAAATAAACTGTACACTGAATAAAAAAATTAAGCTGTCAATTTTCCACATTAAACACAGCATATTCACCCTTTTAACATTTTTAGTCTCTGAAACTGCCTAATACATCATGTACACTTAAGACTATAATCTTGTTTAAATGCTCTATAAGTAATGTAACCTTCTAGTGCCTAAATAACAAGAATCTACCATAAACTCACTCAGGTATGTTCATGATGAGCCTCCTATCCCTAACAGAGGTGACTTTAAGGGAAATTACTTAATATGCACAGGATATGGTAAAAATAAAGCATGATAAATAAAAATAGAAAAGTTATAAGCTACAGAAGTGTAAGATGGGCTAAAAGTTGCCTCCATCAGTAAGTCAGTTGGTCATGTCAGTTAGTCAGACAGTCTGATTCTTGTTCAGTAAGTTGGATAATGCAACATAAACAAAATACAGTATATGCAGACTCAACTTTTCCACATTAAAATTGTACTGTATACGTATAATACCACTTAAACAAGTACCAATGTAGTTCCCAACAATAGATAACAGCTGTACTGCATTATGAATACATATCTTTAATACCCATTTAGCATCATGCAGGAGTTCCTACTTAAATAGGCAACTACTAGCATGCATATCTCATCAATAAAAAAATATTGCATAACAAACAGCTTAGAAACAGATCTCCCATCTCCTAAGATCAGTGTGGCAATAATTAACTAAAAATATAAACCTATAAAATGTTGAGAAAAACTGCATGGGAAAATAATCCTTCAAAGAAACTACTCAATGCAGGTTACCAATACCAAATTTTCATTAAATTGAACAGCTTTTCTTGATATGACACATCAAGATGGTAGTGTTAGTGACCTGAGAGGTGAACTTCGCATGCATGGTGATATGAAACAACATGAATTTATGATGCTGCTACGATTCACTTTGTATACCGTGTTTGTATAGTGAGGATGTGAATAAATGTATGTAAGGTATATACTACTTATTGTCATAACCTTTTTTATCACTGTTCACACTCACCATGCACCATTCTTCCTGCTTTATTCCTTTTTGGGGGTTTCTTTACCTTTAATCCACTCAAGACAAGAGTGGAAGTGGAGTGAAGATAACAGATATAAGTATGCAGTACTGATGACCTCCCTACCAGTGAATTCCATTTTAATATCAGTTTAACAATTTATAAAAGAATTTCAGACTTTCAATTCCAAAACTCATTCTACACTTCAAGAAAAATTAAGTGATTTTTTTTTCAAACTCAAACCACCACAAGTTGAGGTTCTGGACCTGTCTCTTATCCCATGTCTTCCTGACACTGCAAGATTATGGCACAATATCACTAACTGTATTTTGGCATTCACTAGGTGTAATAACAACAAATATATACTCAAGAGCATCTCCGCATTACACATAACTGAATTGGATGAGGTAATTCTTCAGAAAAAACAAAAATAGAAAGCTGCTGTAACTAACAGAGACAGAAAGTACAGTACAGCGCCCATGCTGGTGTGTCTCAAGGCTGACCAACACCAGCTTATCTACTACCAAAAGGTTCAACTGATTACAGTAATAAAAATATATTGTAGATAAACTATAACAAATATACAAAGGATTCTACTGATTATAAGAATGAATAAGATACATCAAAGGTTCTACTGATTATTGTATAAGAATATTAAAAGTGTAATGTAAACAAACTACTAAAAATACACCAATAGTTCTACTGATTGTACGAATGCATAACATACACTACTGAAAATACTGTACATCAAGGGTTCCACTGATTACATGATTAAAAGAATTCAAACTACTGTACTGATAAAACACTAAAAACAGAATGAGGTCATAGTAGAGACTATGTCTAATAACAATGTGTACATTATTAACTTAAAGCTCATCAATAAAATTTTCTTTAAGGCTGACACATAAAATTATACAAGACATAATTCTAGTTCAATTAAAACAACTAACCAAACTCTTGATTATAATATTTAAACAGGACTTCAGGATGTCTTAGTTAGCAGCAATACAAAAATTTGTCATTCCTCTACAGTTCAGTTTAATATGAGCAGATTTCCTCGTGTTTATTCATCAAAAGCCGTATTTTAGATACCAGTACGTAACATTATAGTAAGATGTTGAAGCAAAAAGTTGATATGCTCTGTCATTTCAATCCCATCAAAACTGTTTTACATATATATATATATATCACATCGTTAAAATTTGATACACTGTAGCGTGCTTACATCTGACACCACTTGCTCTACTCACGAGCAATGCAAACTTGATAATGCATTATGGAGGTTACATTTCCACAAATTGGATAAAATTACTAACATAAAAACCTAATCTTACTTCTTTGCTATGTTAGATCAGGCTCATAATAAAATAATTTAACTGTTTTGTGGAACAGTAATCCCAGATTCCTTTATTAGGTTTACACTGCTGACGGGTGAAGTGAGCGCCGCCTCAGTGAGGAGAGAGCAGCAGTAAAGTTGTCCACTATATATTCAACTATATCAATGAATCTACATACTGTATTGCTGCCAAAATATGCCTCTTGAAATGTAATTTGTGTTCTCTTCTGGAGTGATTGGTAAGATTTCTTTACTGAACATGAATTATGTTGACTTGTACAGAATTGTACATGTACTTTTACTAAATGATGCTCAAGTGACAACACAATATTAATAAAAAAACTGAAAATATAAAATGAACAGCACTAACAATTTGCGACATTGTATCAGAAAACAGCACCATTAATATATAAAATTAAGGAGAAATTTAAAACAGACCATGAATTGTGTCTTCAAGTCCCTCTCTAAGAGCGTGAGTTTGTTGAAAAAGTAACTATATTTACTGTATCACCTTCCATTCAATATATAAATCTTAAATGCCATAGAAAATCTTTGATAAACAATTATTGTACTCTACTCTGTTTGACACTTAAAAAATATTACAGGTAATCAGGCAAAGATTCACACACTAACACCAAAATAATGTTAATAAAAATAAATTCTAAAATATCTTAAGTCAGGAACAAATAACAATCAAGTACAGCATAAGATTAACCCCTTTCTTACAACATCACTTAATGTAACTTAAAATAATGACATCATACTGGCATATGATATCAGTTTAGTCATGTGGCAAGGAAAAAGTTAATTGTATTACAGTATATGATATCAATGAGCAACAGAAAGTCTGTATTCTGGCACAGTTTATGATAAAAAATAAAATTAATATGAACTATCTCATTAAAAAAAAATACACCAAGCAAAGAAATTACTCCATTTTTTATCATATTCCTGCTTCATATTTTCTTTGTACATTTCATACCTTCAAATTCATACAGTATGAGGGGGGACTTCAGGATGGCTTCTTTATGCTGACCCTGGATCACTAAGGGTTTGATAACTGAGGAGAGAGAAATTACTTGCTGGACACATCATAAAAAATCATGCTAGTCTTTCTAAAACTGATATTGAGTAAACACAAATTTTTTTTTATTGTCGTGCTGCTTTAACATACTGGTCATTTCTAGTAGCCTTTCATCTTGTATATAAATGTAAGAAGATTGACTAATTACCAGTCACATCTATGATTATTATTGTATAACCAACAATATTAACATCCTAAACAGTATTCTATATCATCTTCAAATATAATACTGTACCAGTATATACTAGTACGTACCCATATCTATATTAACACTTTCATTCCCCTCTCTATATAAAAGGATTTTCAAAAGTGTAATGCTACCTCACTTGAAGTAATATAATTCTGCTTAGTTTCCTGCCATTTTGATTGAGAACATCCATAAGAGGGCTACCAGGTTGGAGTCAGATCTTAGACACCTCAATACCAAGACAGATCAAGACACCTAACAGAAGGGTAATGAAAGATTTAGATTGAAGTTAATAAGCATCTCAAGGTGCATAAGAACTCAGTCAAATGTACATGTCTCAAAAAGCTGATGGTTCACCCGACCAGAGGTCACAGCTTCAAGTTGACAAGACTATCAGTTCAGAAAACCGTGATACTCTGTAGCACCAAGTGTGAGCTCTTTTAAGTCCAAACTTGACTAAAACCATAACACGTTCAGCTGCATTCAAGAGCCCATCCATGCCCAGTACTTATCAACAGCATGTAACAGAGAAATGACAAACCACCTGACTGACTAGTAAGCTGACATGTGGCAAAGAGGATAAAGTAAAGGAAGTAAAGTTACATAGCAACATTTTTAAGAGCTCTGCTTGCAGTAGGAAAGAATGATATTATTGTCATTATTGTACATTCTTCCATGGGGGTTAATCTGGTGGTTGACCCTAAGACATACCAGTTGCTGCAAACAAGCTACCCAGGAAAGTCATAAAGTTTAAATATGCACTTAAAGGTGAAGGCATGGCCATATACTACCTGGAATTTATATTTTTAAAGATAAGAACATGACCAATAGTTGGAATTAATATCATTCAAGATAATAAAATGACTATGCACCTGTAATTAATTTGTTTGGAATTAACATCTCTAAAGGTGTGACAAGACCATATATCTGGAATTAATATTTAAAAAAATTATATGACCATATGCTTGGCACTAATTATATCTTGTAAATGTTAAAGCTTGGCCACATGTTCAGAATTAATAATGTTACATTATTGAATTTGACAAAAAGCACAAAATTTGATGTGAATCATTGTAAGAAAGAAGGTGATGACATCAGTGAGCTGCCAGATATTTACTTTTCACTTGACACTTTGTCTTAAAATAGTATTATCATTTGCAGTTATAAAATACAGTATACTTTATACAGAGATTGCACTGGATAGAGCAGAGATTATAAATAAGTTTACAATTATGAGTAATATTCATTCTAATAATGTATTTCAAAAAGAAAAGACATTAAAAAAAAATTCTCTTCCATAACTTTTTTATGTACACATCACTCTATCTGAACTGAATATAAAAAACAAACACATTTTCATGTACTCAAAATTATTTTAAAATAATCTATGTGCACATCTACAACAAAGACCATGAACATTGGCCCCGGTGTTATTTGGAACATCAAAGAACTTTTGTTTAACATGTTATTTTTTGCAAATCTATTGTACTGTAACTCTACACAATGGTAAGACTACAGATTGGACTGGATTAGAAAATTCTAAGTACAGTATATAGTGTTAATTAATAATAACAGAAAGAAATTCAGAGGGGACAGTAGCCAAAGAGAAGTGCTGTTACTACAATGTGTGTCAATAAGACTACACATTGCTTATTACTCAAAAAAACACCAAGTTACCTGATACCTGATAAGTCTCAGCTTCATTAGGAATAATTATCATTTACCACCAAGAAATCAACAACATGCAATACACACGAAGATGATATCAAATTTTATAAATTTTAAAGCACGTAGGACAAGAATGTTGAATTTTACCACTGGACTAAAAGGATAAGAACAGTAGCATGAAAATCCGAGGTAACAGACCAACACACTTAAACTACGTGTAGTGATCCCTAAAGTTTCTTGGTGTTTACTGTACTTTTAAGACCAATTACATACCAGGCATCTCAGGACAAAGCGCTATCAAGCAATATGGTGAATGATAAACCTTACTCTAACTAAAACTACCAGCAAGTCTATGACCATACAACTCAGCATGTCAATGGCTCTATATTCTCGACCAGGTAAACTTCCATAACACCTCAGAAGTGTTTTATATCCAAGCTGGCTTCTACAATGCCCCCCCCCTTAATCAAATATATTTAGGTAACTTATTCTTCCATCCATTGCCCTGAGAACCTTTTATTGCTGAGACTACGTTAGCAATAATTCTCTTCATATTAGCATACGAGAGCGTTCATAGAGATGTTGCCAATCTAAGTAAGTAATTTAAACCAGATGCTCATTTTACTCATAACTTTTATCTTAATAGACTGTAGTTTTTAACAGCTCTCAGCTTTTTATGGGGCAAGCACTATGGTCACATTTCTATGAATAAGCAGATCACCTGAAGATTAACCTCCAGCTTATTTTACCTGATGACTGATCATCCTAATGCTACCTTGGGTGGGGGGATTACGTTAGGTTGGATAAGGTGAGGTTACTGTTAGGGTGGATAATCTTAAGGTGAAATAAGCGGGGGTTAATCTTCAGGTGGTTTGAATAAACTTCATTGGTTCCCTCTTCCAAATTCCCATGTCCATCAAATATTACTGTACACCTTTACCGTCTTTGTTCATGTTTCTCCTTAATCCTTCTTTCATTAGCTATCATGTTATACTTTCATAAATCATTTCCCCACTGACAATAGACATTCTGTGCTATTATGTTATCATCACCATTTTGCAATCTTCCTGCTTTGTTGCAAATCAAAATAATAATTTCCTCAAACCTCTTGGAAGTTAATTATACACCAATAATTAATTAACCCTTTGAGGATGACAATTGAACTCTCAGGATTTTCATACGAGAAATGTTTATGAAATTTATATACCCATACAGGGACTTTATACACTTTATTGTATATGAAATACTATAGTGCAAAATTTAGGCTTATATTTGTGAATGTTTTGAGCATAATTTAGGTTCATACACCAGGCAGCAAGGAGCATGATGCATTCTGCTAGACCAGGTGGTGGATTATACAGTACAGTATCATCCTCAAAGGGTTAAACCATATTCCTAAGAGGGTTAAGCCATCACCTTCAAAGGGTCAAACCATTGTTATCAAAAGGTTGAGTAATATCCTAAAAGGGTTACACCATATTACTTAAATAATTAAATAACTGCCCCCAAAGGTTTAGACTATTGTCCCCAAGGGGTTAAAACCATCATCCTCCAAGGGTTAAACAATTATCCTGAAAAGGTTAAAAGCTACCCTTATTAAAGAGCATTTTGTGTATGCATCAACTAAAATGTCAACAACTAAATCTACAGCAAGATTTAACATTACCAATCACAGCCATCAGACAGAGGATGACATTAAAATAAGAAATATCACAGCCTTTAATAGTGTTGCTCTACGTACACACACTCGGCAAAATAGATTCTAATTCTTCAATGTAGCATCATGGTGTTATGCCTTTTGCTTAACCACGCAGATCATAAGGCAAAAAATGTCATTTCATATAGATTCTTCGTGTATTACATAATTGTTTTCTTAATCATACTGCAGAATTTATGTTTCAGATGAAATTAAATATTCCATATGACCTTTTCTTCTGTCTGCATTATAATTTATCAAGGTTCTTCTAATCATGAAATTATAGATCTTTTCCCCAAATATTGAGTTTAGTTTTCATGAGTTTGATGCTATTCCATTCCATTTCCCGAAAAAAAAAAAATTGATAATTTGTCTTCTGAATAATCTTCATCCTGTACGGTAGATCATTTACTGTGATCAAATCAAATACTATTTCAACTTTACAGACTTTTTCATTCCACTCAACTTCTCTCTAGCAACCTCAGCAGTATACATTACAGACTTTCTTTTGAATCCACTCAACAATCTTTGGATATTTCTATTGTCATTTTTGTTTTCATAATCAAAAGCAAGTTGCATTCCCATGAACCACTGAGAGATTACTTAAATCCCTTGTTTGCCCAAGACGATACTTCCACCATGTTCATCTACCATCTACGCTTTCTTACATAACTATTTTATCATCAACGGAGTATACTATTTAATTCTCTATTTTGAGAGGATTTAATGTTAAACCGCTATAGGAGTAAGGGGGTTAATAATTCGTGTGTGTGTGTGTGTGTGTGTGTGTGTGTGTGTGTGTGTGTGTGTTGTGTGTGTGTGTGTGTATAATTAGAGCCCCAGACTCATTATGGTGTTTAGAGAGCAGTGGAATAACTGTTGGTACTGGCGATTCGTCATATAGGCTCCAATTTTACTGGGCCTTAAACCTAACCTAACCAGTCCTACCAGGTCCCAAGTCCTAAAGATATCCTATCCTAATAGACCTTAATTCTATTTGAACCACTCCTGATGGTATGGTATGGTTAGATTAGGTTATAGTTTAGGTTAAGTTATATTAAGTTAAGTTAGGTTCAGGCCCAGTAAGATTCCAACCCTGGAACTTGGTCATCAATATGGAACTTGGTCATCAATATGTCTATCAAATGAAAGGGTAAATACACAAAGTTAAAGCATTACTACATAAGACATAACTTCACAAGCAAGCAGCAGAGAGGAAGGTAATTATGAAAATCAGCACAATAGATTTAAAAAATTACCCACAGAAAGTTGCACAATAGACACAAAATATACATATTTAGTAGCACAAGAGACAGAATCAGTATACATAGCCAGTTCCACAATAGACAGAATGGCTATATATGATAAATCACACAGCAGACATAATGGGTATACATGTTTAGTAGCACAATAGACAGAATGGGTATACACAGCCAGTAGTCAAACAATGGGTATGCTGTACAAGAAAGTATAGCTCATACCCCCCAAAAATAAATGCGTACTTTATGGCCACTATAATACTGACACACTACTACACTACAAACATACCGTACTCACTAAAGTACTGTACTTAAATACTATAATACAAACACTTAATAGTACAATATAAAAAATCTACATGATAGATGGTCAAATATTGGACTTTCTTCAATAGCACTTTAAAAAATAATTCATTAGGCAAACTCAGCACTTGGAGGGAAGAATATTTTCATGAAGACTGTTCCACTTAGCTTAGAGATTTTAATGTGACACTTCCATTCTGATGTCTTGAGATCTGTGAAGAACAGTCCTAGTTACTTTAAGATACAGTACTGCTTATCTAGCTTAACTAGGTAAATGGACTTTTAATTCTAGAGACATTAAATTTACTGTACTAATAAGAGATATTAGAAACAGATGCAAACATAGGAGAAGAGAGTTGTATTAGTTAGGTGACACAGTATAATGGTGACAGGGAATCCTTCACCAAAGCAGAAACTTGGAAGAAAGTGCAAAGGTGAATGAATACTTCATAGTTAAGCAGTATTCACTACAATCAGTATTATTAAAACAAATAGCAAAATACTGTATAGGAAAAGTACATTAACTTTAATTAAATTCCAACAGTGTAATAAAAATTCCGGTATTATAAAAAATGGTTTTAGAAAACACACACAAAATATAGAACCATTACAGACAGTACAGTATAGTTGTTGTACAGATAACATTAATTTTTCTTCTCAATTAAGTGAATCCTGACTGGAATTCACTTTCATTAAAATATTAACTTAGAAACTATATTTAGGTTTTAGTCTTACATACTGTACACTATTAATGATCAATAGAGTATAAGTGATAAGGATACATGTATATTGATAATGTTTTTATTATGAGTATTATATATATATTTGAATTTACCTACTGTACACACTACCCTACCCACTAGTGTAGTCATCTACCAGTGGGGTATTAGTAACAGTCATATCACCTTTGACGGCTTCACCAATTTGACTGAGAGAAGAATTAGTACGTGCTAGTACAGTGAGTGAGGATGTGAAGCAACCATCAGCATGCACTGCCATTATCATGCCAAGAGCATATAAAAAAGAACTATTGTGTAATCTTTTTCATGCATCTACATTTCCCTCAAGTGTAATTAAGTCTGAGTAGAGAGGGTTTTCCCACACAACATCCACAGATTCATCATCAGTATCCAGTCCAGAGTCATAAAGAGGGTTGGTCCATTTGACATTCCTAGCAGAAGTTATGAGAAATATGTAATCATTAGAGAAGAACAAACAAACCTAAAAAAAAAAAAATAAGGGAATAACAAGATATAATTATTATTACACCCAGTATACAGAGCTGTGCAATTAAAGGACACATGGAGTGGAACAATTAATTTCTTCACACCAGCAAGTTTTTTCCTATGACTCAAATTTCTCATTACTAATTTGGTGTCTTTCATTCTTTTCATCTGTCTTACCAGGAGTGTTGCACTATGGTGTCTACCTTACAAAACAAGTTCCCAAGAATGTAAAGTGTTAGGAAGAGTGAAGAATATTGACCCTGTATATGTAAGTCTTTGATGCCCTGTTCCCTCTGGACAAGAGTTTAAGTGGAATCTTCACAAAATATATACAGTAAGCCATCAACCAAATCCTTGTCTATCCTAATTGCTCAATTGAATCCCGTGAAGATTAGCCCCAACTTATTTCACCTGATGTTTAAACACCTTAACACGAGCTGTGAGGGATTAAGTTTGGTTAGTTTAGTTTATATTAGGTTAGCTTAAGTTATATTAGATTAGGTTTGGTTAAGTTCAGTTAGGTTTGGTGAGGGTGTTTAACCATCAGGTGAAATAAGTTGGAGCCTAACTTCAGGTGATCAGCTAAATTTAAGAGAAAACTTACTTTCTGGATATCATCATCATATATGGTACAAAATATTCAAGACAGTGCAATCTATGCTACACCTAACAATTTTAATAGTAAATATAGTTGGTCATTGCAGAAGAAAAAAAAATCACCCTTCTAAGATTCCTGGCAAAACTTTCTTCCCATGTAATTCTCCACAACACACAATGAAACTAAACAGAACTTGGGGATGGTGCCAACACATGCAAGACGGTGTCTTTTCCAAAGCTGTAACCTTCATCTTTGACCTTTTTAACATATAAATACAGCAGCTCTGGGGGTTGTCAAATTGTATATACAGTACAGGTCAAGTATGAATGAAGTGAATTTTTCCATTTTTGAACTATACTGCCACCATACACAGGTAGACAGTCAGATATAGATATCCGTGACCAACCTACTGCTACACTCCCACTAGCAAGACCAATAATCATTCAACCTTCCTTGTTCCTATATCACAACTCCTGGCTGGACGTCTTACTTGTACTTGTGTACGAGATCCCCTCTGTGCTGAATAAAATTGTCTGGTGTTATCCAAATAAAATATTAAAAGTGGTGTCCCCATAGTGAAGGGGTTAATATTTGATAAGAATTTTTCAGCTTTACATGCAGTGGAAGCTTTAAAATAATAATATGAAGTGCAAGAGCAAGTTTGGAGGCTAAGAAGAATAGTGAAGCATAAGTGTCTATATCAAACTAAAAAACTAAATAAAGTATTGTACTGATGCATTTCTATTAACATATTCAGTACTTAAGAATAAACAGTAAGCAAGAATGCTCTAAACCATACTGAAAACATGTGGGATTTAACACACGAGTGACAGTGAAATACACATGTAAGAGCAGTTGTAATATAAAGTACTGTACATACAGGCAGTTCTGCTATAACGCGATAATTGTGTTCTTGTAAAATATCGTGTTATAGAAAATCGCGTAATAGAAATAACAGGGCTTATGGAGAAAATAGGGTTAGGTGCAGATTACTCGAAATCGAAAAAATTTAGTAGTTAGCCTAACACAAAGGATAGCACAGTCTAAATAAATGTTACATTCATATCTAATAATGAAATCATACAGTAAATGTAACACTTTACTTGATGGGGGAGAAGGGTGATTTTGAGGTTGATAAAATCGAGCTTCTCTTCAAGTGTTATATCCTTTCTTTTACGATCATCACCGGGAATTCTATCACCAGAACGCTTCTTGTTGATATTCTTCTTTACTATATTCACAGTTAATACTGTTTACCACAAAATTGGAGAAATAGTAAGCAAAAATCGCGTTATAGCAAACAAGCGTTCGCGTTATACAAATATCGTTCCTAATTCATAAATCGCGTTAGAGCAAATTCGCGTTATCAAAACACGCGTTATAGCAGAACTCATTGTACTCTATATAGTACATCAAGAAATATTAATGCAAAAAATAAGTACAGTGTATTAGTATCAAAGAATATTACTGATACATGAAAGTGGTGAATGTCATAACAAATAAAACTGCAAAAATATTAACACTGTACCACATTTACAAGCTGGAATCTGAAATAATTATGAGGACAATTTTATGATATATCTTCTGCATGGTGTTTAAACCAAGATACTTCAACTAATAGATACTGTACCTCATAACAAGTACTTCCTGTGGTGTGGAAAAACAGTAAGAGTACCAGAGTAGCCAAAAGTTATAACAGTACCAAATAGTACTTTAACAGAGAGGGAAAGGTTAGTTAGAAAGAAGTGCTAAAATTACAGAGGAATCATTCTACTATGTATGCCGAGGAAATTATAAAGAAAAGTGATATTGATGGAGTCAGGACATGAGTGGGGATATGAATACAGTCCAGGACAGAAGGAGACTTGATACATTGTGGAAGGGAAAATTAAAATGAAATCATAAGGAAAGAAGATGGGAGGGGATAAGAAATAGAGAGAACAAAGGAAACATGTATTGCCTGGGCAGTATGGAGATTCCTCTGCAATGGCTACCCCTATGGATGGAAGTTCCCTACAGGAGTGAGCTATCATAGATAAGGTAAAATAAGATTAAGTTATCAATCTCACTTGAATCTCAACTAAATGGGATAAAAAAAAATATACAGTGCAGGTATTTTGTGTGAAATACAACAAAGACTATGTTAGCTTTTCTTGTCCTTGTGGTGTCGTGGTAGTGCTCCCTGTTTCCACACAGAGGCCGTAGGTTTGATTCCTGACTAGTGAGGTACTGTATATATATATTTAAATAGTTTGGGGAGGTCCTCACCTGTATATATCGTCCATTGCCTCAGAAGGCACATCCAGTTGATAGGCTGCTTGATTCAGATGCTGGGATATGAACTGTGTGACAGACAGACATATTAATCAATAATCATGCTAATATACAGTGTCTTAATATTACAGTACATAAAACATACAAAACAATTTTACACACATACCCGGTAATGTTTCAGTGTCCAACAAAATGAAGAATATCATTTTTGAAATTTTGGTATTATTCAATCAGCTCTATGCACAAATAATCACATGACTTATCTTTAATACCATCGCAATGTCTGTACATTTGTATTGGTGTACAATATATACATATGTAGTTGCCTGTATGTGTACATATATACAGGGTATATATATACTAGCATGTACAGTAAACACATTTTAACTACCTTTTGTGTGGGAGTTGTATCCATGAGAACATCTATGGAGGATCAAATTCCAAATTTAGGGAAAACCCCAAATTACCTAATTTTTCACACTGAACAACCCACCCAATCCAACAACTGACTTAAATTTCCTCAGAATGGTTCCTGCAAGTTCTTATATGGAACAAAGAACAACCTCTAATGTCCTATGAAAATAATACAGCACAAGTACATGAACACCCAAAGCAGGCATCTCAATACGACCCAAACCAGCTCAAGAATCAAAATTCCTGTAATTCTATTTCCAGGCTAACTCCTGGCAAGCTTGAGAAAACAAACTATCAAAATGCAAACTACATTACTTACTGAGAAGTCAGCTATTACTGACACAGATTGGGTGTTGTGGGTTCTCAGTGAGCTTGTCAAGTGTTCACAAGGAGGAGCATAACATACCACAATCAGCAATTGAATATGTAAACTTTGCCCAACGACTAACTCTGAGGACTGTGTGGCTCAGCCAGAACCATAATTAGTAATAAATAGTCAGAAGAAGAAAAAAAAAGTTATGGTAACTTGAAAAGGCAGACCTCAATTTATGAGGATATGTTCCTGAAAAACCTCTCAAATATAATTTTCATAAACTGAGGGAGGGGGACTGCTTAAACCAGGAGGGGTTCCCTCTGTCCATTCCCTAAAGTGATAACCTGGATGGTAGATTAGTATGTTAGTGTCCAGTCTACAAGAAACTACACATACACCCAAGAATTCAGCCAACATTAATGACAGTAAGAAATACAAGACTAACAGCACTGAATAATCAAGACATGTACAGTGATCCCTCGGTTAACGAGATTTCGGTTAACGAATTGCCTTCCATAAGATTCTTAACTTCGGTTAACGAGCATTCCCTCGATTAACGAATTCCTTACGAGCGGCCCTCATCATGTTTTCGCTTGCACACCAGTTGTCGTATTAGTCCGCCAATACAGTAATCGGTTCTAGGGCTTAAATTCCTTACCATTTTAGTAAATATCAAGAAGGTTGTACTATTCAATCATTTTAGAAGTTTAATATTAAATTTTTTAGTCATTTTAACAATTATTGAACATAATTGAAGTACCGGAAACTAGTTTTATGCGCGCCAAACAGCCTGTCAACAAACCAAACAGGAGTCAGTCTCTGTGTCTTTTCAGTGGAGGTAACATCTTGCTTCAGACTCACTTCAACATAAATGCTTTTTTCTGTGTTTTCAGTCAAATTATTGATCATTTTGAAATTTATTTTACATATTGATGATATATAGAGCAGTGCAGTGTTAATTTAAAGAAAATATTCTTTATTTACAGCAATTGAACTTAAAATATCACATGTTGAAATTCTTTTTGAATCCAGCATGGGTCCCAAGAAATCTAGAAAAGCGATTTCAATTCAGATGAAACAGGAAACAATTAGAAAACATGAAGAAGGTATTAGAACAAATGTGCTAAGCAAAGAATATGGCATGTCGACATCAACTGTATCGACAATTCTTGCACAGAAAGACAAATTCAAGGAAGTGAAAGTGAGAGACAAGTCTACCAGAGTGTTCAAAGGTAGATCCCTAATAGCAGAAACAGTGAGGTTACTTCTCATCTGGATTAGGGAAAAACAGATGAAAGGTCATTCAGTTTCTACTGAATTTATTTGTGAAAGAGCCAGGGAAAAATACGAACATTTAAAGGTAAATTAACCTGGTTCTTCAGGCATAGACTTTGAAGATTTTAGGGCCAGCAAGGGCTGGTTAAAAAAATTTAAGAAAAGAAGTGACATATTTAGTGTTAGGCATGGTGAGGCTGCCAGTGCTGATAAGAAAGGGGCAGCAAAGTTTTCAGTGGAATTTAAAGAACTGGTGGATACAGAAAATTATCTTCCACAGCAAGTGTTCAATGTGGACGAAACTGGGCTGTTCTGGAAAAAGATGCCCAAAAGAACATTCATCACCAGAGATGAAGCCTCTTTACCTGGGCATAAACCCATGAAAGACCATCTCACTCTATTGCTTGGTGCCAATGCTTCAGGGGATTTCCGACTGAAGCCTATGCTTGTCTACCACTCTGAGAACCCCAGGGTGTTCAAGCAACAAAAAGTGGTAAGAGGACGGCTTGGAGTTTATTGGAAATCCAACCGTAAGGCATGGGTAACAAGACAGCTCTTTAATGAATGGGCTGTTGAGGTGTTTTGCCCTTCTGTGAAGAGCTACCTAACCACCAATAAACTCCCTTTAAAGGCTCTTCAACTCATGGATAATGCCCCTGGTCATGACCCTCAACTTGCCAGAACTTTGCAGTCACAATTTGACTTTGTCAAAGTGTTGTGTTTGCCTCCCAACACTACATCAATCATACAGCCAATGGACCAGAATGTGATCAGCAACTTTAAGAAGCTGTACATGAAAATTTTTAGGAGGTGTCATCAGGCAACTTCCACTGATCCTGAACTTACACTGGCACAGTTCTGTAAGACACAGTTTAACATCCTGGAGGCTGTAAAATTGATTGTGTCTTCATGGTAAGAAGTCTCCACTAGAACCCTCAATTCTTCATGAAAAGCACTGTGGCCATCAGTAGTCCATGATTTTGAGGGATTTCAGGATGAAACAGAGTTGCACCAGGAGATTGTGTCCATTGGTCAGTCATTTGGCCTTGAAATGGAGGAGGATGATGTAGAAGAGCTTGTGATGTCTCATGAACAGGAACTTACTCATGAAGACTTGCAGCAACTGGATGAGATGTTAGAGGCTGACAGTGGTGAGGAGGCAATGGAAAGTGATGACCATATGTCAACTTCAGAGTTGAAAGATGTTGTTCACCACTGAAATAACTTCAGGAAACTGGCTTCAAGGCACCCAGATGTGGAAAAGTCTGAACTAGCTTTGTGTCATGTTGAGGACACAGTGGTCTCCTTCTTCAAACATCAGTTAATGATGAGGAGGAGAGATGCCCCACAAAAAAAAATTGACAGTTTCTTTAGTAAAAGGCAGCGGGAACAAGATGCTAGCCCTCAGCCTTCCACTTCATGAAGGAGAGAGGATGTTCCTGGTGGAGAATCTGTCAGTCCAGAGGTTCCTGACATTTTCATGGAAGGTGACTCACCTTCCAAGAAGCAGTAAAATGCTTCTCCTCCACCTCCACTTCCTTCTCTTCTCCCTTCTCCTCCACCGCCATTCTAATTCCCATCATCATCCAGGAGCCTTCTACATACACACCTCAAATTAAGTGTACCTTTCTACCTTTTTTGTTGAATTTAGGCAATTTTTGGTGAGCTGGAACCAATTACCCAAAAACCCATTGAAACAATGGTTTCGGTTAACAAGTTTTTTGGTTAACGAGCAACCTTCTAGAACGGATTGTGCTCGTTAACCGAGGGACCACTGTAAACACTATTAAAAGTACAATTCAAATAAATCGACAATAACACACAATAATTATCAAACTTTAAAAAAGTAACAAATATAATGTGATACGACCCTCCTGAAAATAAGCCTCCTGACAGCTTTGCCTTACTGTTTACCACTGTTGTTTACCTGCACTGTCTTGGTACACAAAAAACTATATACAGTACTGTACTCCCACAGCCTATGTGCACTGTACACACTACAATACCTACATTGTCTATAATCATGCTGAATTGTATAACTGCATAGTTTATAAAAATGATTATCCAATTGCAAACCCGTACATCAATTTTACTGAATAAATATTATTATTACTATTATTGTAATTATAGTGAAGAAGTCTAAACTATTCCTCCAATCTATTAAGTTCCTGACGAACAAATCCAAGTCATGCTATTGAAGCATAGTAATTAAAAAAATATAATGACAAAAGAAAACATAGTACTGTACACTGAAGATCTTCTACACTATACAGTATCAACACTCAACATTCTAAGCTCCATGGGTTATTGTAGATTAAAATTCATCTACTGTATTCAAAAACAACACATTCATGTTTCTACACTCAATAGGCAATTTACAACAAGAAATTTATGAGAAATAGTAATAATTTATCTACATTGTACAGTACTAAATACCGGTACATCTAAAATTTAAGATCACTTACTTAAAAATAACATTGAATAAATTGGCAACTTTAGATTCAGATAATTTATTCAAACAAAATCAATCTGTGTTCTGTGATCCACAAAACATTAGGATGACATAAAACAAAGATATAAATCACAGTACTGTACATGGTAAGAACAGAATCTGGCAACTGCAATTAATAACAATGTATGAGATTAAAAAAAAAAAAGTTGATATGTACATTATTAGGCAATAGCATCTTTTACACAAGAAAAAAATGAGGCACAAATTCCCTTTAACCTTCATGAAACAGTCTATCATCAGCCAAGCCAAAGGGTTTCCAAAGTTTTGTTAACGGTAGATCAAATTTCCAACTTAACCACAACTTTAAATAGAAAAAAACATGATAACTATTTCCTGATACTGTTTTGGTAACTTTAATTGTTTTCTCCTCCTCCTGTCAAAACCTAACACTCATAACCAAGACAGATTGAATACATGTCCTTTAGAGGTAGATTAGATGTGTTGGAGCTGACTGGAAATGGGTTGGGTTGGGTTAGGTTAGGTTAGGTTAGCCAGTAATAAGGAATGTATTAGTCTGAGTTAATTACCATAATGACCAGATTTCAAGTTATCAATAATAAGTCATGGTATTAAAGATGAGACAGTTTAATTATTATCCATAGGTCTTTCAGTGACATAACTACACTGCTCACTGAACTAAGGAAAAGAAGAAGCCACAGAGCATGCAAAGTAAGCTTAGAGAAACACATACCCTTCGAAGCTGTGTTGTAAGGTAGGACTAGTACCATCCATGCCCATAAGTCCAGAAAGCTTGAAACAAAGACAGGATTTATAAAACAGGTGTGAATGAGAATTTACCAGTGTTGGCTCATCATAAAGTTTTCACTGTTAGTCAGCCAGGATTGGTATTCTTGTAGACAAATGACATAAGTAAGAGTCATGAGAAATATGTATGACCATAAACCCATGACAGAAATTAAAACAAACATGCAAACACAACTATGCATTATGTTACATCGAATAAAAAAAAAATCTTTATGCAATTTCCCACACTTAGTATGGTGACAACCCCCAAGATGAGGTTAGTTTAGCTCCAGGCACTGATGTAACTGAGGGGCCAGCTGAAGACACACCATAATTACAGGAAAATATTAGACTTGTGCTAGAACTTGTAATGTACTACACAGGTAAATCAATGTTAATAATTTTAACCTGTGGGCACCGGTCGAACCCAGGCCACCACAGTTGGTAGTCAGGCAACAATCCGCTTTGGTGGCCTGAGCTCAAAACCCAACACCCAGAGGTGATTTTTTTTTTTTACCAAATATTACCGGTACATTCACTGATGATTGACTGAAGAATAATTTTGTTGACAAGGAGTTTTTCATGTATCATGGGACACGTTTTTTCCATGGAATACAGTAAGTCCTCGCTTAACGTCAGGGAAACGTTCCTAAAAATGCGACGCTATACGAAACGTTAAGCGGATCAATTTTCCCCTAAAGAAATAGATAAAATACGGGAGTTACGTTCCTGAGCCTCCCTTTGCCCCATGATATATACAGTGGTCCCTCGGTTAACGAACGGTTCGATTAAAAAAAATTTTGTTAACGAATTAGCTCCCACAAGGATTTTCAGTTCGATTAACGATCAAAACTTCGATTAATAAAATCCTTACGACAAACATGTTTTGTTGTGCGCATCAGCTGATCGGCTAGCCCGCCAATACAGTAATCGGTTCTATGTTTACATTTGTTTCCAGTGTAGTAAATATGAAGAAGGTTGTGCTCTTTAATATTTTAGCATTTTTTTTACTAAAATTATTAGTCATTTTAAAATTTAGTTAACATATTGATAATATATGCAGCACAAAGTACTAGGTTTTTGTGCACCCATCAGCCGCTTGACTCGCCCTCCAAAGCGTCTCTGTTTAACTTTATTTACAGTGGAGGAAACATGGTGTTTGTTGGTTAGGTTAGATTATTTTTATGTTTTTACATTAAAATTATTGGTCATTCTGAAATTTAGTTAACATACTGATAATATATAGCGCAGTGCAGAGTTGATTTAAATAAAGTAATCTTTAATTACAGCTAGTGAACTAAAAATTTTATTGGTGAAATTTCTGCATCAAGCAAGGGTGAGAAAGATGATTCCCCTCAGTGCTCCTCTCCAAAAAGGAGAGAGGATTTTCATGTTAGAGAATCTGTCAGTCCAGAGGTCCCTGACATTATTATGGAAGGTGACTCGCCTTCCAAGAAGCATTAAAATGCTTCTCTTCCCCCTTCTCCTCCATCCCCGCTTCCTTCTCTTCTCCCTTCTCCTCGTCCACCCCCCACTTCTAATTCCCATCATCATCAACCAGCAACATTCTACATACACACCTCAAAGTAAGTGTACAGTACTGCATTTTGTTTATACTTTGTATGTACTTTTCTGTGAGTTGGAACCAATTACCCAATATCCCATTAAAATAATAGATTCGGTTAACGAACGACTCTGTGGAACGAATTGTGTTTGTTAACCGAGGGACCACTGTATTTCATATACTGTACAGAAAATCATTGCCATTTCTATGGAAAATAATGCATACATATACAACTACAGTACTAAGTTTGTATTGGCACTCACCGATGGGCGGAGGTGGTAGAGCGAGTGTGTGATGGGTAGTGAAGCAGAGGAGGCGGATGGCGGGAGGGGAGGGGTATGGCAGGAGAGGAGGGTTCTGAGTCACTGAGACTGCGCCAAACCGGGAGCGCACAGCGTGGCCAGATGAGAGAGGGTAATGCATCGTAAAATGTAGTCTGTTAAGACGCAAAACGACTTGGTATCGGATCACTGGGACGTTAAATGAATTTTTGGTTTCTTAAAGTTTAGCGACGTAGTACCGAAACAACGTTAAGCAGGACGACGTTAAGCGCAGACTTACTGAAGCAGTATATAATGTATAAACAAATACTAGTAAAACAAAGATATGCACCAATGCTTATGTGAAAACTCAGAACATATGCTGTAAAGCTACTAACCTCCTTGATGATTGGCACTGAACAATCCCTTCAAAATCTGAACACACATGCATAGCACCTTCCTCCTGAACACACCTAAATAACATGTAAGCAGATCTCTTACGTAGACAAATATCAAGTGGGTAGTGTAAAGTTCAGTACTGTACTGTACACACATACCATAAGATACTGAACCATCATTGGGGAACTACTGTTACTTGCACATGGCATACATATAGTATATCCATACACTACTTATACTGGAATTTCTGAATAAGGTTTCTGATTCTAAGTCTAATTATACTGAACAATAAAGTTTCACTCAGAGGAGATACCAAAGAATTAAATTTGAGACCACTTAAAAGAAGATAAAGAACTTGTCTCTTTATAATTATACCAACTTAAAAAGGGAAGGGAAATTAAATTGAGGCATAATTTACCTTTAGTAAAATGTATAAAGAACAGTAAAACCAAATTTTATATTCATAATGTGGAGGTTAATGATTTATATTGTATGCTTATTTGCAAGTTAACATATGTGGAGTAATTCAATATGCTGTGTTTGTCATTTCAGGTCCATATCTACACTTGTCTTGCAGCACATTCTCATACTAGTACAGTGCTTCTTTCTTTGAGGTTGCTATACCCCTTTATCTACTCCATTCGAAAGTGGGAGAAAACTAGAGAGAATAAAGGGGTAAAAATATAGCTATGCTCTTGTGTATCCTTCTATACATCCTACCAACCCCACAGGTCAAAAAGAGTGTTTTCCACAATCAATTAAACTTGTATTAATTTGTTGGTTTCTAGAATATGTTTATTAAGATTTTTCTGTCACATGTTGGCCAAAATGTAAATTTCTTTGAACCCTCATCTCAAAAGCAAATAAGAAACATAAGCAGACATGGAAACAACAATACAGTTAAAACATTATTACCTACAAAAAATGACACATTCTGAAAGGTAGTGACAGAAAAAATAATAATAAAATAATCTGCCATACTTCAAACACTGCAAAAAATCAAGCCATATATGGTAATAACTAACTGCCTGTTTTCATCCCCTGACACTGCAACAATTAAAGAATTAATATTCCTTAAATCAGTACTCACAGGTAAGTGACAGCAGAGGTTAAATCCAAAGGCAACCACCAGGAACAATGTCAAGTATGTGATGAGGGTGAAGTAGAATATCCCGACGAGAGCCACCAGAATGTACACCCACCAGCTGTTTGGGTCAATATTAGCGTCGAGGAAGTTGATCACGAACCACAAGTTGATGGCGATCACCACCAATGACAAAAGGGATGACAGAACCTTTGTAAATCTGTTGATATAATGAGAAGAAAAATCAAGACATAATAAAGATTGTGATTATTTGTTGGTTATCCTCTTCTTGAACATTTACCCCATCATGTTATCACCCCAGAGACCTGACAACTCATCTTAATACAGTATGTATGTACAGTCAAGATCAAAAGTGTGTGTGAAGCAGTGAAACTGTGTCACGGCAATGAGTCTCCGAACTTACATACCTTGACTGTCATCTGGTGCAGGTGTGCTAGTTTATCTCATTTGGGGTCGAACTGCTTCACATGAGAGTATGGTTTCATTTGTTGAGGATATGAGTAAATGTGTGTGATTAGGGGGGTATTTCTGCTTCTTGTCTTAGCCCTTTCTTGTTACTTTCTAAACATGTCATGCAACATTCTCCCCCTTTTGAGGTTTCTGAATCCCTTAACCCACCCACCCAAACATACATGCATGCACGCACAAGTGGAATAGGATTAAAGAGATTAATTGCTCCTCAGTTGAGATGGCATTAGCTTACACTGAAACCTCATCAGTATAAAGTACGGGTATATAATTGTTTATATACATACCACAGAGAGTACAGTATCTTCACAAACAATGCTTGACAAAGGATCAAACATAAACATTCTGTATATCTCTCAGGCTGGGACAGGACCACCCAAGGAGTACACGGTATAGGTGTTCAATCGTCATTATGATTTCTAAACAAAACATACGTACAGTAAGTCCTTGTTTAACGTTGCCCCCGACAATGTTGTTTCGTTATAACATCGCTACTCTTTAGATACCCATGATTCCAACAATGTCCTGACCGATTCGTTATAACGTCGTCAAGGACTACTTTTTTCTTTTTTTTTTTACAGGGAATAGCCCACCCGGGCACAGGTCACTGACCCACATTGGGGCCTGGAGGCAAAAATGTAATAATAATAATAGTAGTAGTAATAGTAGCAGAAATAATAATAATAATAATAATAATAATAATAATAATAATAATAATAATAATAATAATAATAATATAATTCATAGTAAATAAAATTTAGAATAAAAAATATAAAGTTGAAAATAAATTACTGTAATACAATAATAATGCTAATAATACTGTAATAATAACAACACTGTAATAATAATGATAATAATAAACCATAAAGGAATAAAAAACTATAAAAAGATCAAAAGTGAGAAACAATATATGTATGTTGTGTTGTCAATAGTAAGAGAAACAATTGAGACCCTGCGATTGTGTGTAAATGAGGCAGAAAGTTAGATCACAAACCTGGGACTTGGTCACAATTTTTGTGATGCCATATGGCAGCAGGGTCTACCATTAGACAATACATTGTGCTTCCAATATCTTCCCAGGTGGTAGTACCTCCCTGTTTAATAGCTACCCGGTACCTACTACCTATGGCGCATCACCCTCTCTCATCTTGGTGCGCTAAGCTCTCTCGTAGAGCGTCACAGCGTCCCCAGTCTGTGTTAGGCATCCACAGCGTACGTGCATGCTCATGTGTTTTTGCTATAAATACTGTACTGTAACCATTCAAAATGGCATCCAGGCACCCATCAAGTGTTAGTGATGCTAGTGTTGTGAAGAAGCAACACAAGACCATTAGCCTTGCTACAAAAATGGAGGTTTTAAACCCACCACACACTCGCTCCACCTCTGCCCATCAGTGAGTACAATACTAAATGATTTGGTTTATTTATCTTTTTGGATGTATAATATATGTTTTCTATAAAAATTCCATTTAATTTATGTATGTGTAATGTATTTTATGGGACAAAGGGAGGCTGGGAAACGTAGCTAGCATAATTTATCTATTTATTATGGGGAAAATTGATTCCACAAACATTGCATTTTTTCAAGAACTTAACCACAACGTTAAGCGAGGACTTACTATATGTCTAAAAAGATTCTGAAGTCAAAAGGTTAAATAAAATGACTGGTTATTAAACTTCTGGGTGTACCTCTGGGCTGAGAATCTACAATATTACAATGAATGGAAAATGGGTAGAATTGATAGACCTTGATATAACTTACACTCCATTCTTGAAGTCGCCCATGATGTGCTGTGATGATGTGAACGTCACAGCTGGTATGAGAGCGAAGGGTAGTTGCAGCGACATGACAACATTCAGTAAATCATTCATCTTGGTGAGATCATTGATGTCCTGTAACCACAAACATTAAGTAAAGCTCTGACACTATTTTGTTATATGTTAAAAATTGAAATTACTTTACAATATTCATTCTCCTAAATTGCAAAGTGGTACTAACAGTTTCCCAGATTCTTGCTAATAATTGTAACAACTTGGATCCTCTTCTTATTACTCTGAATAAAACCAGTTAGATAATGATACACTTACCATACAGAAATCCCTCTCTATATGTACAGCACTTCATAACTAAATTTGTACTTGCACTAATACAGTATTCTCCAATATAGCTTCGAATACTGATTATCAGAATATATCATAAGTTCACTTTATAAAAAGAAGAAAATATACAGAAGGATAAGAAGGTTTGGGGAGCAGGATCACACATAGCATAAAGCTTTACTGTCCATTAACTGGATGAACAAGAAATAATTTGTGTTAATCAAGACCAGAAACACGTTCCACCAGTGTTGTTGGGATTCATGAACTGTGAAGTAAGAACTTGGGTATGAAATATAATTGCAATGATCCCAACAAATTATTATATATTTAAAATAAAACCATTCTTCTAAAGACAGACAGATGGACAGCTTTATGTTATCAAAATTCAGGGTCCTCTTAAACCCACAGTGGCTGTGCATTATGGTTACAGTAACTCTTAAATGATGGCCATCATCAGTGGAAGTCAGTTGTAGGGACGGCAGTCAGCATCAGAGGATGTTAATTATAAGGACAGCGGTCATCACCAGCGGACATTTCATGTTCCTTGCATTCCTTTTATGTGTACAGTATATGAAGGAGGAGTAAGGAATTTTTAGCTGCTGGTTAATAACAAAATGTTAGTCTTGTGGGGGTACACTACTTTACTGTACGTACAGTATAGTACTTCAAAATCCATTACAACTACTAAAATATGACAGTGCCAAACAACCTGTTTTCCACATAACTATACTGTACTGGACAATAAAGACCATAACAAAAGTAACAAAGAACAGACCAACTGACTGAATGACTAGTTAAATGATAAGTGATGAAATGGTAAATGGTTGAAGCAGTATATCTTTTATAATTATTAATGGTATCATCACTAATACTCAATCTTCCAACTCTTATTTTAGTCCTCCATACCTACTGTACATTGTCTCCATACTGTGCATGCTGAACTATGTATCTGCATTATTTATATACATACGGTACATGCAAAGTCTACATAAATGCCAAATCAAAGTAAACTTGTTTAATGATTTTACTGAATAAATATCTATATGTCTTTCTCTCCATCTATCTGTGTTCCATATACTGTATATGAACTCACAATTCAAGGTGGAATTGAGATACAATCTATACAAAAATATTCATCAAAAACTAAGATGTCATAATTACAGTACCTTGTAGAATGCAATAAAGAATGTTGGAATAATAGCAATGGTACGTGTCAGAAGCACTCGCTGCCAGCGCTTCCACCGAAGGTTCAGGAAGCCCTATGGAAGAGACAAAACACAAATACTGTATTTTTATTAACCACCAAAAACTTGAAGATTAATACAGAATTTTCTCATTTTTCACTGTCTCAGTATATATGTTTTCTGTATGATCAGATCTTGACATAATTAATGTTCAGAAGAAGATCTTGATTTAGTGACCTTGAGTAAATCAGTCAGTCAGGTGAAATTGTTATTTACAAAATTTACAAAGCTGGTTGACAATAAATATTCAAGTTCATACCTCCATTGCAAATTGTCCAACATATGTTCCAGTCATTGTTGAGCTCTGACCAGCAGCAAGAATTCCTATAGCCCAGATGTACATACACACAACACCATAAGTACACCCGAGGAACACCCCGGCTTTGAAGATGTCTGCATCAACTAGCTCATCATTTTGCTGTAAAATAATCAAGAAAAGGTAAATTTCTTCATTTATTTCAATGGAATGAAGAGACATATTGTGACACCAAGAAAGAACCGCAAAGGCTCAAGCTTTTAAAAATCTTTCATCTTAAACAAGCAGATCCACTTTAAAACTTATCATCATAAGACAGCGAGAGAGAAATATGTACAATATATACCATGACTCCTACTTAAAGTAGTCAGCAATACAGTAATAATTATTTCCATTAAAATATAAATTGTATAAAACAAATACTGTACTAATGTGGACCTACTTCGAAGGCATTGGCGTGGGTGTTGTTGACAGCTTCACAACGATCATACTGAAACAATATGCTAATTATTAAAATTAATCACAAGAGTATCACAAAATAACAGTTACAACACTTCCAAAAATCTTAATCCAAGTTTTTTTCAAATTCTTAAGTACAGGGTAATATGATACCGAAAAAACAAGAAATGAGTACAGTACTGTATATGAAGAAAAAATGAAATTTATGAGGTAATTTTTTCAAGTGAATAATCCTACAGTACTGTATATATTTCCCTGAGTTATAAGGCACTAAATCATCATATTATAACTTCCCTACAGACAATGCCCAAATTTGGTAGAGACAGTATTCTCCCAAAGAGTGGGATATACTGTAGTGTTATCCTTATGTTTGGTGGGTGAAGGTTAAGGCAGGACAAAGTTTATCACTAGTTTTCTACTTTTTCATTAGAATACTGGAGTACAGTCCTGTCATAATTGTGGAGGGGTTCTGAAACTCTGGCTTGTAAAGCTGCGGTTGCACTAGAGCAGGGGTGGGCAAAGTATGGCCCGCGGGCCACATTTGGCCCGCCAAATTATTTCTGTGGCTCGCCACTGCATTTGTATTTACAAATACAAGGCTTTACTTTGTGTTAATATAATACATTTGCATCTACATTAAGTGTGTGGCCCGCGAAGTGTGCCACCATTCATGAAGTGACCCCTCCATCAAAAATAATTGCCCACCCCTGCACTAGAGTTTTCCATGAAATAAATCCATGATAGCATTTCATCCATAGGTTTGAGCTCAGTTGGGGAGCAGGATGGCTTCATTGTATTTTTCTAAGGCAACATTAACCGTAAATTGAGACTCTCTGCCCCAAGGAATACTAGCAGTATCTCTCACAAAAATTTGGTGTAAAAATTTGTAACGTCTAAGCGAAGTTTGTTTACAAAAGTAACGCAAGTATTCTAGAGTCAAATGAAATAGTACACCTGGACAGACCTAGACTTCTCATATTTTGACCCCCTAAATGAAAAACTTTTATGTATCCCTGAGATCAAGTCCGTAGTGTTAAGTTAAAGTATGACATGCAAAACTAAAGAAATCATGCATAAATACAATGTCAACAAACTGATGTAGTAGTACCATCACATGTATAAAGGGGATCTCTAAAATATGTTTTATTACTGAAGTTCTTACCACTTCTTGGTTTGTGACACCATAAAGTCCTTTAGCAAACACAGCCACCACGAACACATTAATGACGAAGGAACACAGCAGAGCCAAACAAGCTTCTAAGAAGAAATACTTGTTTGCTTCTTTTACATCTTCTTTCTTCTTGCGGTCAACATCCCGTGACTGCAAAAAACGGTGTATTTGCTATTTAAAAACAATAATACTTATAGCTTTTACTCACATATTCTGAGATCATTGTACTTATCAATTCTGAACATAAGTCTACAAACTATTTTACCATATAATATTGTATTAAGTGTTTAATTAACATCCGTTTTTGAGAGAGAATTTTAATAGAAATTAAAGGAGTATCTCTTAAAAATTTGATGGCTGTTTACCAAATTTAAGGATAGGTTATTTGTATGATATGAGAAAGGTGAAAAATATAGTGGTACAAGCAGAAACATTTCACTACTGTGTACTGGGTTCAATCCCAGCCTAGGTCAGATGCAAGAAGGGTGTTAACCAGTGTGATCCTACCAAACATGACAGGTTTTTTCTGGGTACTCCTATTTCCTCCTGGACAATAAAGGTCATAACAAAGTAAAAAGAACTGGAAAAAGGACAAATAAATACATAAACATTGATGTAAATGATATAAGCATGACACTAATGTTCATAACAACACCCCTAAGTGAATTCAGCTCCTACAAACAAAACAAATGAAAATCAAGGCTTGTAACTTACTGCCTTGGGAGAATTATTACCCAATAACACAGAAGTAAAGTTAAGTTAACCATGTGTGGTACAGTTCCACACACATAAGTTAATATTAGATTAGTTCAGGGAGAATATCTAAAGGCATACAAATACGTCATCAATAAAGAATACCCAGATTTTCATAAACCATATATAAGCAGTTCAAGTCTGGGCATTCTTTTTTGATGACCCCATATATGGTAACCTAACAATGTAATTTACTCTAATATATTCCAGTTTTAACACGATAATTAAACACTCCATACCTTAATTTCTCACAAAAATGAAATCCATAGCACTGTACTACTTCGATGAAATTTGAGAACAGTTTTGTGTGAACAATATCCCACCAGCTTTTGTGTATGAAACAATACTGGGCTATGGCAACAATTGTTAAAGCAGAATTAATTTGTAACATGCGTATCACCTACCCAATTATTACCATCATCATCAGCACCCATCCATATACGGTACAGTAAATCCCCTTTTTATGTAATTCATAATAACATCACTTCACCTTACATTAGGTTTCTAGGAATGCATTCATGACATAAATAGGGAACTTCCTGTACTGTACACCTTTTGTACCAGGTTTCAATGGAAAATTGTTGGATGCATTCACCTGATAAATTTGTAATTAAAATGAACTCATGATTATAATCTGATAAATGCACTTGATTGCTATGCAGTATTCACCCTGGATATTGTGGGATAAAAAACTATTTTTTACAAAATATCTTAACTATTATTTTAATTACACAGATGCTCTGAAGACATAAGTTGAATAGAAATCTTTTTTCAATTTGCTGTACTAGTACATAATATGAAACAACCAAATTAGTTTTTACAACCTAAGGCTTATTCACTTTCAATTAAGACTTCTGTTTTTAATATATGACAACCTATTTTTTTATATCTTTTATATAAACAGATACAATATTTTCAGGCTGTTACTAATATTTGATATATTGTTTTAAATAAAATTCATCATACCTTCACAAGAGCCGAGTGTAAATAGAGATTATGAGGCATTATGACAGCTCCTACAATGCCAACTGCTTGAGCGAGTGCTCGCTGGTCACAGTTGTAACAGCCCGGAACAAATAATCCTTTCAGTACTGCCACCTGATCAGGCTTTGAAACACCATACTGATAGCCAAATGTTCCAGCCATTACCATGATGAGAAAGCCAAAGAAAGCCTCAAGCTTACGAAGACCATAGCGGTCCAGAGCAAGAAACGTGAAGGTATCAGCAATGGTAATTACTACTCCGCCTGGTATAGGAATTCTGTAAAATAATAGAGAAAAAATACAGAGAGTTAAGAATTACATAATTCTTATCATTATGTTTTAAAACAACCGAGTAATATCATCAGGTCAAAGTTTATATAAGAACACATTAAAAAAAACAGAGGTGGAGACTTTATATTAAAGTCTTCTGTTACAGCATTAATTTTTTTCTTCAAGTGACAGGTGGTGCAACACATGTAATGCTACAATTATGGCTTGCCAAATCTTCCCAATATGATCACGATTGTTGCCACTAGTCCATAGGAATCTCTGCCTGGTATGATTTTTAGGATACGGCATTGAACTTAATGCTTTAAAAACTCAAAGGATGTTTATCTGTGTATCATAAACTCTAACAGCTAATTGTCTGATTAATGTTTCATTTGGGTTGTAATCCTTAAATTTAATAAGTGAATACTGTACAATGCACTAGTTTCTTTGTCACCAACACAGTTATAAATATGTAAGTATTTTTGGTATTAATCCTTAATTTCTTATTCTCATTTGTGAATTGCATTTTTGTAAAACATTGTTTTCAAGCATAGTTTTTTTTTTTTTAAATCTTCTAACCTGTTTCAAGCATCTTCGGTATTTGGCAAGGGATACCTCAGTGAACAAATTAAACAACACTTGACTGATCACTCTCTGCATTTTTCATTTGGAAAAGGAAAAAAGAAATAAAGAACCTTAATATAATTACAGTACACATACACCAAGTAGAAGACAGTAGCCTACATACTGTACTACCAAACATTTAATAGACTTACACTCCATTTGAAAGTATGTAAATTGCAATGGATGTCCCTATAACTTCTTGCATGTCAGACCCAATAATGGCAATCTCGACCATGATCCAGAGCAGAATGCGTGGAATGCGTGGATAATGTCGGTAACAAACTTCTGACAAGTGAAGACCCGTCACTGTCCCCAAGCGTGCTGAAAGACGTTGCATGACGAGTCCAAGGATAGTTGCCCACATCAGCACCCACAGAAGCTAAAAAAAAAACATTATGTGCTATTAAACAATTGCTGTACAGGAGCAGCAGCATAATGCAAAAAGCTTCAACATTAGAAAAACATAAAAAGTGGAGCATGAACTCTCAACTTCAGATGCAGGAAGAAGAAATATATTGGAAGTGTCAGAAAGGACAAGCTTGAAAGCAATATGTAAGGTGAAGAGAATGTAGAGAAAAAGAAACACAGAAATAAGGAAAACTTGTGGATGTGAAAGAAATGTTGGAGAGAAAGGTGACATTCAGTGAAGGTGGCAACGAAAGGTTGGTTAAACTGTTTATAAAGCAGTGGTGGAAAGTAGGAGGGCTAGGGAAAATAAAGGAGGAAATAGATGAATGGAGTAAGGGATGTACAAGAAATGAGGAAGACAGTGGCATCTACTGACACACCTGCTGTCAGTCAGAAAAATAAAATCATGAGACTTTTTTGTATATCTAAGGGAATCTTCCTGTAATTCCTCTCAGTATTATTAACCTTCACATTTTCTAAAAAAAAAAAAAAAAAAATGTCACAAAACTAAAGCTGTACTAAAATTCACCATACATACCACTCATCCACTACACCTTAAGATTCTTTTATCTATACAGTATACTGTACTCTATCTTTCTAAGGACCATTTTATTCCTTTTGTATCTGAGGCACTGGTATTAGAAAATTAATATGCTGCTGAATTTGTCTCACGACAGTATGAACCAGCCTAGAAGTCATTAGATCAGTTGACTTAGGCAGTGGTCAGTTCATAATGAAAACCTTAAATACTGTACTAAACATATCACCAGCCTTTATATAACAAACCAGTATCCCTCCACCCACCTGGTAGTTTGCTGCCGCTCCAGACTGAAGATCAGACTCTATATTTCCGGGGTCTAGGTAGGCAATACTCATGAGAAAGCCAGGGCCTGTAAATGCCCAAAATTTTCGAAAACTGAACAGCTTCTGTGGGGGTGAAATAAAACCAGATTCATTACTGTACTGTACTTCATATTAACAGAGGCTAAATAGAATATGTTTGCTTTAAGATACCAAAGATTGCAAGAAATAGAAAAATAAAAATTAAAACATAGGATGAGTAACATGGTTGCACTGCTTCAGATGTTTAATTGATAAGAAAATGAGGTGGCATCATCACTGAAGATATGTGCATCTGGAAAAATTAAGTGTGTGGGGCACTAGGTTGACTGTTGCATGGTCATGCAGGTGCACAGTTTTGAGGAAAAATTGGCCCCCACTATAATTGTATGTATGTCTGTCCATGTAGACATAGAGTATACAGTACATATCGACGGATTTTTTATCGAATTATTTATCGGATTTTTATTTTGGCTTTATTTGAACTCTGCGGGCCTTGTTTGTACTTTCGCCGCTAGGCGGCACTAGTGGCGTGACTAGCGTCTACCCGAGAGTCTTTGATTTTCAACTTTTGCTGGTGGTTCATCACATAACTTATATCACCATGCCTCCCAAACGACCTGCTGCTCCCTCTGGATCTACTCTTGAATTTTGTAATTTTTTATTATGCATCCTACAATGACATCGTTAGACTTGATTTTTTAAGTGTGGGTACGGGTATGGGACCCTTTATCCAGCATTATTGAACGTGGGGATCACCAGGTAGGTTTTTTTCTAGAATTTGATAGCACCAAGCCTAAAATGTACAGTAAATCCTCTGTAACTGGCTGAAAAGCCTCTGTACAGATGACTAGATTCATCCTTAAAAGTACCTTTACCTGTACAGTGCACTGCAACATTAAAACTTAAAAATTATAGGCATAAAAATGGCAATAACAAAAGCATACAGTATATGCTGTGAATAGCAATAATAAAAGCATAAATAGAGCAAAAATGACACAAGTCAATGAATACACTGTTGCAATCTTATAGACACTGGCCGCCTCAACGCTTGCCTTAGAAATGCAGCCCAACTGGGATGCTACCTGGCTGCCTTCCCTAGCATCGGTGCTCTACGCCAAGACTCTTTCACCTCCACTCACTCACTCACCACACAGCTTCATAGTGGAAACCCGTGTGTGTGTGTGTGTGTGTGTGTAACTGAGTAAATAAAATGAAGAAAATCACCTCTATCTACCCAAAATTAAGAGTTAAGAAATAATCATAACATGACATATAGCTCACAGGTGGGGAATGGTTGAAAATATCCCCGCTCAGCCCAGAAATTACTTGGTAGTCATTTTAATTTTTTCTTCAAGAACATGGCCAGTTATTTGAGTATTCAAGATACTGTACCAGGATGCCATATAAATGGTCCCATACATGTACAAGGACAGTAAATACAGTACATGACTTTTGAATTTCTCAGTTTTCCTGGTTTAAGATTTGATATTTTACAGCCAGTAAGGGCCGACTGTTTGTGTTTTACTGACAGAGCTCGAGTTCTCAAATAAAGATAGACTCCAGTTTACAAAGATCTATTTACCTTACCTTGTTTACCTAATGGCTACCCACTAGAAATGGCCTTGCTGAGGGAAGGAGGCCAGTGGTCCATTGTTCTTGATAATTTTGTCAAGGACTATTTTGAAGCCCAATACAGTGGTCCCTCGGTTAACGAGCACAATTCGTTCCAGAAGGTTGCTCGTTAACCGAAAAACTAGTTAACCGAAACCATTGTTTCAATGGGTTTTTGGGGAATTGGTTCCAGCTCACTATGAGGTGTGTATGTAGAAGGCTCCTGGATGATGATGATGATGATGATGATGATGGGAATTAGAATGGGGGTGGAGAAGGGAGAAGAGAAGGTATTGGGTTGGAAGAGAAGTCACCCCATGGTGCCATTTCACCCATAAAATTTTAGTTTTCTTGGTGTAATTCAAGATTATTTTCTTTAAATCAACACTGCACTGCATTATATATTGTCAACATGTAAAATAAATTTCAAATTGACCAATAATTTGCTTGGAACACAGAAAAAAAGCGTTTAGTTGAAGAGAGTCTCAAGCAAGATGTTACCTTCACTGAAAAGACACAGAGACTGACGCCTGTTTGGTGTGTTGACAGGCTGTTTGGCGCGCATAAAACTAATTTCCTGTACTGTACTTCAATTATGTTCAATAATTGTTAAAATGACTAAAAAATTAATATTAAACTTTTAAAATTATTGAATAGTATAAACTTCTTGATATTTACTAAAATAGTAAGGAATTTAAGCCCTAGAACAGATTACTGTATTGGAGGACTAATACTTCAGCTGGTGGACCGTCAAATGCAAGTGAAAACATGTGAAGGGTCGCTTGTTTAAAACACGTTAATCGAGGGATTGCTCGTTAACCGAAGTTAAGAATCTTATGGAAGCTAAATCGTTAACCGTAATCTCGTTAACCGAGGCACTCGTTAACCGAGGGATCACTGTACTGCAATGTTCTTGATTCTACAGCTTGGGCTGGTAGACCTTTCCAATATTATTGCTCTTTTTTTTTTGCTCTATTGCCCAATATAAAATCATTACTGTATAAAGTTCCATGCATGGTCAACATTGAATATTTACCAAAATCATTATTTTCATATTTCCAAAGTCGTAATGAAAATACAGCACATTAAATAATGCAAAATTTTATAATATCAGAATGCTTACTTTTCTAATGTTATTCCACAACTTCTATAGTTTCACTACATATAACAATGGGTATTATTCATTGTTACCCCTCACTTAGAAATAATTTTGCTTAAAGTTAGGATTTCAGGAACACATCCCATCATTAAACGACGGAAACTCAGATTGATGTTGGCTTAGAATTTCAGCTGTTCACTTTGTTTCCAAACTCATCCTCGTAAGTATTGCACGTGTTTCACTTTTTATTTTCATTATTGTCTTATAATCATTATATACAAAGAAAAAAAAGTGGGAGGAAGTTTTTACGTAGAAGCGAATATCAGCTTTTATAATGGGAGTCTATGGGAAATTTGTTTCCATTATTGAAATAATGTATTGATTTACAAAAGGTTTTTCAAGAAAAGAACCCTTTCATAAATCAGTGTGAGAGTGTATTAACATTATGGCCTTTTCTCTACCATAATAATTCATTATGGATAATTTTGAATTGGAGTGCAATATGAACACAATTCCTGCTTGCCTATACAGTATCAGGAACTGGCTCATAAACATCCACTGTATAGGTGCACATGACAAAATTCATTCTACACTCTGATGTAAAATACAGTGGGGAATAACAATATAAAGTGAAGGTAGAAACTCAACAATGGTATGTTACAGTACTTACATTTTCTGACTCAGGGATCTGAATTCTCTCATGAGCAAAGTAAGTGTCAAAATTTTCTTCGTTCGGAGACAACATCGTCTCTTCAGTGAGGGAGGTGGTGATATTGGTGGTGCTGGTAGGGGTTGGTGGCCAAGTGGAATGAGGTGTGGTGGCAGAAGAGTCCCCTGACAAGTTCCTGGTACCAGTGTCATTCTCGGTCTGCTCATGGCTGTTACTCATTGCTGCTGTTCCTTCTGTAGAATGTATGGAAATATACAAGACTGTACTCAGATCCAGATTCTTTATTCACAAATATTAGTAAGGTTTCAAGACATGCATTAATTCCCATCAGAAGGTTACAAAACACTAGAAAAGGCAAAACAAATACTGACAATAAATACATACAACAATAAGTTTGCAAGAACATTATACTGTATTGTACTTCTAAATCACATAATTATACTTTAATTCCTCTAGTAATGTCAACACTACTTACAGATGCTTTCGTTTACAAAAAGAGAGGCAGCAGGGCAGTCAGGGCCGACCAACACCTACCCAGGAGCTGAGCGCACATTCTACTTACAACTGATAAGATGTTATCATATCAGTGGTACCGGTAAGTCAAACAATCACTACAATCAGAATACAGTAACTGAAAATGACTCTTGATTTCTGACTCTCAAAGAAAACAGTGATGATACTATTAAACTACTGAATTATACAAAATGTCTAATAGGAAAATTAATATTTTTTTCAGGTGATGGAAGAGAACTTAACACTAGATGAAAGAGTCCACTGAAGTTTAATATTCATGTACGGTAAACCAGAGGCTGCACAGTGATCAAATGTAAAAGAATTTCGTCGACTATACCCATACGCCTGGGTGTGTAACATATGGCTCTCTATATGTACATGAATATTAAACTGATGATTTGTTATCAATCCCTCACCTGAACATTATCTTATGGTGCGTGATCTATGAGACACCCTGTTATCAGCTGTTCTAATCAGTGTCCTATACATAATGGTATTTAACAAGAAAAGTAAGTACAGTATGAGCTACTATATTGGGTAAGTATTCATATGAACTTATTAAGTACAGTACGTACAGCAGTGCTTCGTGGATGCATACAGTATATAAGCAAGTCAAAAACTTTTTCTATTATCCTGTACCTGTACATTACAGTACAGTTTATGATAACTATAATTACTGTACTGTATCATTATTGTTACTCATAAAACTAGTACTGTCTTCAAATGACAATGTGTGGCACAGAACACTCCTGATATTGTCAAATGAAGAGTTCATGTTTTGTGCCTCTGCTTAAACATCCCAGGGGCTATATCACACCCATGTGGCACTAAAAATATATTCTGCACCTTTGGCTCCGAGACCATCTGCAACGATCACTGCGACAGAAGCCATGATGAGTGTTATCAGATTTCTTGGTCCCGTGTGTCATATTGTATAACACCGTAAAGGTGCAGAATAATATTTTAGCAAGTGGCCATTTTTTTTGTAGTTTTTTTATTTTTGTTAAAAGTGGAGCTGCTTATAAAATACTGCATCATTAGGAGCATAAAGGTTAATGCTCATATTTTTACTATTACATTACCATTGTTTCTATTACCAGCATTATTAATATACAATACCTGTAGTGTACTTTTTATATTACAGGTACAGTATCAATACTATTATTGCTAGTATTACAGTATGTACTATTATTATTAGTGCTGTTGTTGCAGATAATATTACTGGTACAATATTGTAAAGCTTTTACATGTACAGTAATGATATATCCATTAGTCGGAACAATTGGTGAAAAACACTTCCAGAAATGAGAGATTTCCGGGTAACGAGACGACTCTCTCAAAGCCGGAAAAATATCCCCCATCCCCGGAATTTTCTGGGTAACAGAAAAATGTTCTAGGAAATTTCAGAAATTCTCCATTACTGTACATCATCTCTTCAACCCAGAAAAATATACCCCATCCTCAGAATTTTTTGGGTAATGGAAAAATTTTCTCGGAACTTCCGGAAAATGCACCTGGTTTTCATCTCCCAACATGGAAACAACTACCCCATCCCCAGAATTTTCTGGGTATCGATAAAATTTTCTCAGAATGTTCCGGAAAACTGTTCCTAAAACCTGAATTGTCCAGAAAATTCCGGCTTTGGGAACGATTTTCCAAGAAAATTTCAATTCTGGTTATCTGAGAGTTCAAGGTTTGAGGGATTCTGGCTAACTTAGATATTACTACTACAGGTATTATCACTGTTACACTTTCTCATCCAAATGAAAGGACTTCTTGAAATTCGTCAGATTTATAGTTGCTGTGATCATTTGATTCAGTGATTCACACCCCAAAAAGTACAACTTATTCCATATGAAATTTAAAGTATTCTTAGAAGAAGGATCTAGTTCTAACTGGTACCATATAGGGTAAGTTCATGGATTCAGGGCCAATCTTCTGCATGATAAAGGCAACATAGTACTTTTGAGTAAGTTCTTGGACTTAGGACATTCCAAAGTTTTAACCAGCACAGCTTCTTTAATATTGGGTGTCTGACCAAGTACAGTACAATATTAGGGTAGCTGACTCTGACCCAAAGAACTTTACTAACAAATTACAGTATGTTTTTGGTGGAATTGTTTACTCTAAAAGCAGCTATCAACTTGTCTAAAGGTCAAACAAATACATGTACTGTACTGTATAACCATAGGACTTGCAAGCTGTCAATATCAAAGTAAAATTATGATAAATTTGTATTCTCCACTTTTTGTCCAGTATTTAAAATGTAAAGCTCATTAAAGATCTGAACTAGACTTTTTTTATTACTATACTGTTTTATGTACATCTAAAAAAGTATTTACAAGATGTCATGTTTGGTTATAGAGCTGTGAATATATATACAGTACAGTATTGTATGTCTAAAAGTTTATAAAGTACAGTACCATATGCACTTAACATTAGAATGACCCTACGTACTGTACAATACCTACAAACCAACATGTTATCACCACAGATAATTATTACAGTACTGTACAGTATTAAGGATGTTATTCAATTAGAAAACCAGTTCAAATGTTAACTGTGCAATATTTGTAATTCATAATTATACAGTACAGGGTACAGTACTCCAATTTTATCCTTCAGATGCATGTAAATATATGTGAAAATACTTTACACCTCATATCAAATGCCAACAGATAATAAAACACCCCTGGAGATCAACTGATAAAATAACATGTAACCCTGAGGTCTTCAGATAATAGTGTGTGACAATGACACACTCATACCCCTATTTTTTCTCGACTATTATATAGCTCGTTATCTAACTTCCTATAAATGAATGAGTGAAATCATTTCCTATCTTTATCTATTATCTTTTTCCCCTTCCCACTCTCATGTGCTTATGCATGCCACAACTCGAGATATAAACATTGCGAATGCTTAAAAGCAAAAAGTTTTTAAAAATTATGGTGGAAAAGGACGATGTACAAATACAGTATAATGGCTGCAATGCCCTACGGCTGTGTATATGTATGTTGGCTAAACGTTAGGGATAAAAAAAATATAGCATTGGCTGCTACTTCTAAAGTTAATGCCAGTGTAACATTCTGGAAGTGGCAGATACTGCAACAGTCTATAGTCTTTCAATCATAAAATGAACCAAACTACAGTACAGTATACTGGTAATCTGTCTAGCTTGACCTAACCTAAAATACTAGTTATCCTGTATCTTCATCTTTGAAAATAAAAACATAGAACCTTTCTAAAATTTAAAATCAGAAGTTATCACGGTGGACACGGGTGAGTTTGTGTCTCTTGCCTTCCAGATATAAATAATCATAAAATTTATATCACACAAAAAGTATTCCCCATGCACTTCTGTCATTTTGAAGAGGTAATATATCTTCTAAGGAGAAATTTCCTCAAGTTTGTGCTCAGGGTGCATCACGGTCATTGGGTATTACCACACTTACCGGATAATGGTTCATACACATGAATGCTTCCAACGACTGCAACATTAAATGATTTATCAAGGATGAGATGACTCAACCTGATCATACCTGACCTTCCTAATCTAAATAAATTATATCATATTGTTACATAAGTTCAGCTTATCTCATTTAATGCACCAGTCATTGTAAGCAATTGTTCACTGATAAACATGTTTTTGGAAACAACAATCAAGTGACAAAAGTAGCATCAGATGGATGTGACAGAAGGACGGTCATTATCAATAGTAAAAGCAACTACAGTACAGTACTGTACTGTACTGAAAAGTAAAAACACAAATATTTAAATTCTCTTTTCTTTTTTCTAGGTAAGGAATAAGTTGTCTTGGTAAAGATTCGTTTTATGCCTTAACAGGAATTCTATTACTAAAATATTTTTTCATCATAGTTTGAAAGAATCTGATCTTTATTCTTAGCACTACTGCTTATTTTTTGAGATACGACCATGATATGCACAGAGTGATGAGGGCTTTGAAGATGAGGGAAACTGTCGGGTTAAAACACACAAAGATTAACACCAAACAAACCTTTCAAAACCTAACCTAAACCTCTGAAAGTCCTACTCCTCAAAAAAATAAAAATAAAATAAAAATACTTATTTAACCGTTGTCAAAGGAAAAAAGCGATTCTCTTCTTGTTTTTGTATGTTTTCGGTGATTATGTCATGAAGGAGCTATAACACGAATTAAAACTGTACTGATCAGGGAAATTTTTGAGCATGCATAAATCTTTAAAATGATTTGAACTGCCTTCTGACTGATCAAAGTAGATCATGTGAAGTTGATAGGAAAGAGATTTGAATACTGTATAATACTTTATGATAATGTGTTTAATGAAGTTAAAATCTGTCAATATTGTTGTATCCTCTTACTGTCCAAATCACATCCAATAAACATAAAATTTGATTCACTGTGTACGAAACCAATTCACAGAATCTATGCACATAAGTACATTGAGTAAATGAGGAAAGAATTCTTTCAACAGGTTATTAAATTGGTCACATTGTCAAAGGTTCTATTTGTGTTATTCATGTTTTAATCCCACATTTTTCCTCTTCATTATCGTTGCTATGGTTAGTAATCATATCAATAAAATTAGCATTAGCTGTTACGTAGTAACCATTCACAGAATTTTATAGTGGTTCATATAAAGGAAGATAAAAGAAAAATAATAATTTTTTCTATACATATAGTGTTCCTGGCAGAAATTTTTAGTCTTCACTTTATTTTTACTTCATAAAGTATACAGGTTCACAGGTATACCTGTATTTTTCTGTTTACTTCTAACTCAAGCAATCAGCAGAAGTGTCGATGACACGTGATACTTGTACGCATGCACTTAAGTCTTGCTCAACTCGTTGGGAGATGGCGTTTAATTCAATGTGTATTTGAGAATGGAGCCGCAGCTCTTGATATCTCTCGGTCTCGTGTTCACCTTGGTTCAGGAAAATGTCCAAGTGGAAATTCACAGTTTGTATCATCAATATCGCCACACTTGGTATTAAAGTATATTAAGGTAAGTTTTATAAGGTTTGTACACTGAAGGGTTAGATTAGGTCAGGTTCTTCTGCTTTTTTTCTGGTCAGGTTAAGTTAGACATGAATACTGATATCTGTGATTTGTTTTTGTGTGTCTTTACCAGTTAATGTTGGTAATTGAAGGGGAGGCATATATCCAAGAGGACAGGTACTCCTTTCTGCCAGAAATGAAGGTCATATTCATGTGAAACAGTGAAAATAGTATAAATATATGTACTGTATATATTATTTAAAAGAATTTCCATGAAAGGTCAACATGGAAGAGTTACCTCAGTGGCCCCTAAAATAAAGGTCAGACTCTCTGAAATCACAATTAATACATGAGAATAACCTATTTTAGGGTAATCCTGGAGGAGATGGCTAACACCAGAAGGCATTGTTCAATTTTGTTAGATGTTGTTATTATAGTAAGTATTTTAAAAAAGGTGACATTTACTAGAACCTGACCTAATCAACCAAAGAAACCTACCTAACTTCCTAGCCGGGGGCGGACCTCCCCCCATCATATTAAATAAAAAGTACTTATTTTGATATCTGGTACCACTGAAAGCAACTGTGTTGAAACGTTATAGTGTAATTTTACATTGTTTGTGGACGTGAGAGCATGTCCGGGCTGAGCGGCTCGGTTGCATATTGACCAGATGAGAACATGCACTGATTCAGCAGATTTTTTGAAGGAGTATTTACAATAAATAATTAATTTCTTCACGTACAAAGCATGTACAGGCATAATTTTAGAGTCATATGATGAGTTTTTCATCGTGTTTTACCCCACAATTTCCCTCATCCTTCATGCCCTACCCACTACAGGTGATCGTAGATTGAGAAAAACTAAAAAAATACTGTGCTGTACTTCACAACCGCTTTCCCATCTCAGTAACTGAAAGTTCGCCCACAGCCGGTGTTAATTTATGCTAGGTTAAGTTAGGTTAGATTAGGTTAGGTTAGGTTAAGGTTGGTTAGGTTAGGTTAACATTAACTTCAAAATAAACACTTTTTAACACATTTGCCATAACTACGACAGTGTCCACTATAAAACACATTGAAAGTGTGGCATTTTTAAATTCGTTTTCTATGAAATATCTGCAGCTGTGAAGTCATAAATTATTACCATAATACTTATAATTAAAATAAAAAGTTTTCACCTCTTAAAATAATTACTATAATGATAAGAACATCAGTGGGGAAAAATGAACGAAATTGAACAACCACTCCTGGTGTTAGCCATCTCCTCCAGTATTGCTTATTTTGGTCAGTAAGTATAATTCCCGTTCGGGCATAAGGCAAATCATTGCCATTAAAAAATTGGCTGTCCGCAGGTTCCCGCCATGTTATACTCCTCACTTAGTCAGTTGTCTCTTCCTTACCTCCTCCTCCTTGTAAGTTAGGTTAGGTAGGTTGGTTGGTTGGTTCTTTTGGTATGAGAATAGGTTGGGTTTTTTTGTTTTGATGTTTTACTCAAATTTGACCTATATTTTTGTGCAAATTATGTTTCTGTTAAAACTGAAAATGTTAATTTTTTGCAAAAGCCTCTAATTTGCACAAGAAATGAAGGTCAGATTTGAATGTAAATTTTTACTTTAGGACACGAGACCCTAGGGGTTGACCAATATGTTTTTCCAGTGTATTTCGGTGTGTTTTAAACGAATCTGACCTTCATAATAGAAGAGAACCTGGGAAATCAGGGTTTTTGGGTGGGGGGGAAAAACGAAAACGAGTCATGTAACCTAACATAACCCCTAGCCAGGGGATCCGCCCCTGGAACCCTGGTAGGCCTAGCTTAAATTAACCTAAATGATTCAGTAGTTGAAAACTTTGGGGCGCGTCATGTCCGAAAGTAAAATACCTTAGTTAGAAGTGGAAGGACCAGGGATACGTAAGAATTGGATAGATTGATGGTCTTTCTCGTAAAACTCGGCAATAAACTTAAAATAATCATAGAAGCAAAAAATGACAACCAACCTAAACCAAGGCCACTGTGAGACAGGTCAATGAAATTACCCAGGCTGCTGCTTCTGAAAAAAAATCAAATGCTATTGGTCGAAAAAAAATTTGTGTGATGATATCGATACATCGTTGGTCACGACTGGATGACGTCAGTCAATATTTCACATGCGTGATGAGCCGTTAGCATCACCTCACATATGAAGACTGAAAACTAGGTAAAATCAATTAAATTAAATTGTATAACTACTATCCATTTCCGACATGTACATGTGGGGTTCAAAATGCTCAGAATAACGAGATCTAAATGTTTCAGTAGATTATAACTTTCGGGCGAGCTATGTCCGAAAGTAAAATAATACCGATGAGTAAAACACCGAAAAACGTAAAACAAAAACTTATTCTCATACCAAAACCTGAGAACAGCCAATGGACCAATATTTACTTTATTCTGAACTCAATAAGAAGATGGTGGAACTCCTTTGGGATTTTACCCCCAATAAAGGGGGGGGGGAGATAACGAGAGATCACTTACCCATTGCTGTCTAAAAGTACTGGTGATTCTTGTTGCTAGTCCCTTAATTTTTATATTTTTTTTTCAGTGTAACTTATGTAACTTCTCCTCGACAGAATTACTGTTCATTTGCCTCAATTTGTCGAAGAGATGTTCTCACTTGTAATGCTGTGTAGGGGTAATTAACTACTAGCGGTGTTTCCCTGCCGTCCTCTAGTGACACTTGTTTACTAGTATCAGCTGACGAGTCGACGAGTGTTCGTGCGTGTAGCCTGACTTATACCTCTCATTTATTATTTATTTCGAAAGTACAGTCCAATTTTATGTTTACTGAATTTAAACATTAATAAATTATTGACATTTTGTCAATTATGTGCAATATGACTCCCATATTTATAATATAGTTTAAAACGTAAACTGGTATTAAATAAAAATGTGGACACATTCGGGAAGAGGTTCATCGCTTGGTAACCAAGAATTAACAACATCCTTGTTATTAAATTCTTTTAACCTGAGTCATCTATTCTACAGGATAACGCATTACTACGATATGTAAAGAAAAATAACTATAAAACACAAAAACACGATCATTGGATATACCTGATAATGTTAGTACTAAACTTGTGTGGGTCACTGGGGAAACACGCCGCCCGGACCCGGTACACCTGACTCATCAAACCGCTATTTGATCCTCGTCTTACATAACTTTTACTTATCCTCTCCACCACTGATCGGCTCGTTAGCCAAAGGCTATTAGAAATTGCCGCCAAAAATGCTAAAGAATAATTTATGTATTTATATTTTTAGTTATTTTTTTCTGTTATCATCCCATAATAAAATTTATATAGCTTCCCATCCGTTTCCTCTCCCAAATATTAACCGTATTTTGTGGGTCTTTGCGGCGTGTGTCTGGCCGATGACTCCCTAACTAAATCTAATATAATCTACGGTGACCGAACCTGACAAAACCTAACTTAAAATATCATAATCTAACACAACAACATCATCATCATCATCATTATTATTATTATTATTATTATTATTATTATTACCAACTTAATCTCTATAAGTTTGTTTACAATCCATCGTTCGGGTAATTAAAAAAAATATTGTATGACGTTTCCCTCGCAAATTACATATATTATTATTATTATTATTATTATTATTATTATTATAAATATTTTTATTATAATTATAATTATAATTATAATTATTATTATTATTATTATTATTATTATTATTATTATTATTATTATTATTATTATTATCCATTTAATTAATGTCTCTTTAACATTACAGTAACACCTTTAATCTAATTCAAAGTCATTTAATTCCCGAATTTAATCTCATTCAATGTCATTTAAGTCCCGCATTGAACCTTATAAATGAACGGTTTCTTAGGTCCGTTTTCTGTGTTTCAATAAAAGAAAATTAAACTTTTTTATGGGATACCTTTTTATTTTATTTTATTTTCATATTTTGACCTTTGTTTTACGGGGAATAGCTCACCCAGGCACAGGTCATCGACCCACAACGGGGCCTAGGGGGCGAAAAAATAAGATTAAAAATAAGTTAAAAATATAAGAAAACAAATTATATTAATCCACACCACGAAGATACCGGAAAACCAGCTTTTTGAAGTGAGAGATTGTATGAGCAGTGGCGGCTCGTGCATAGGGCTGCAGTCCCCCCCCAGACACTCACTGCCAGGCGTATGATTCCTTTAGAGAGACAGCTGAATAATACACTACCAACAAATATATCATTTTCTATGTTATTTAATTATTTTCAATACGTTGCTAAGTGAATTTTAATTAAAATCAGACCAAAATTTAAGTTACTTTCATAGTTGCTGTCAATGCTGTACGATTCATGTCTGTTATTAATTGGCGCCGCCGCCGCCGCACTTGAAGCAGCTCAGTCTCGTACAACGTGTGGACGGTGTGGTTAAATCGTGCTTTAGCAGTGATATCCATTGAAAATAAAATGATAACAGAAATAAAGGATTTTAATGAAATAGTAATAAACAATTTTGCTACATCGAAGAGCAGACACGCCGACTTTATTTTCAATTAATACTGGTCCATCACCACCAACACTACTACCATGCCCTGGGAATTCGTGGACATCAACTACAACTCATACCTGAGGTAGGTCAAATTTGTGTATCCTACTGTTGTGTGAGGCTTGCAGTCCCTCCATTTTATTTTTCACGAGCCGCCACTGTGTATGAGTATGGAAACACAGTTTGGCTGCGTGAGGAAAGAAGGATGTTCTATAACGGGTTATTCTAGTGTCACATACATCCACAGACAAACGGTATGATATAGCAACAAGTTTACATTAGTGTACTTTATTTGATTTTTTCTCGGAGGTGCAGGAAAGCACGGCAAGACCTGACATATCAGTTTATTCAAAACAAGTATATACACCCAGATAATAGTTTGATACAGAGTAATCGAGTTATTTTCGAGTACTGTATGGTCACCAGTATCACTTATCAGTGTTATCACCAAATTATTTCACTAAAATTATCATAGGGTTCCTTAAGCTTTAAAATTTTACGAAAATAATTAATATGACACCATTAATCCTGATAATCAAGGGATGGCCAATGATAGTTGTCTGTCACCCTAATGACCTGCTCAAAATAATAGCAGTGTATTTTCAAATAGTCAAATAAATACTGCAGGCGGTGCTTATCAGTCCCCAAACGACCAATCTTGTCTTCAAATTGAAAATTTGTCTCTGTCAAACACCTTTTGGCGATGCACGCTGGGAGTACATAATCCAGACAAGCGTTCAGTTGACATTGTTGATCGATGCCATGTCTTGGCACATCTCGGTGTGGTAAATGACCTCTCTACTTCACAAGTGGAGGCTGGAAGTGTCAAAGAAATCAGTGGAGCTTCTCGAACAGCAGGAAACAAATCACACTGCTTCAGAAGATCCGTCTAGGATAGGGTTGCATCGGACACAGATGCCGTTTTCTTCTAGGAATGTTGACGCTGTGTCCCCATTTCAAACCAGGACTGCAACCCCTCAGCAGCATTATCGATGTTGTATATATAGATATAATCATTTAACTGTGCCATTTTTCCAATATTCAGCAACAGCAGGATCGTTTCTCAATTTGCACCACAACTTGGTGTTGCAAGTAATATGCTTGGTGTACATGAACTTATTGCAGCAGATTTGTGAGTCACGCTTATAACGCAATAATATATACTATCCTACTCTTCTCTTAACTATTGCTTTCCAATCTACTGAATTGATAACATTAAGGCTTGATAAGAGCAAATGCATGTATGGTTTACTTACACCCGATGACGATTTAAGTACAAAATATTAGATGCTACAGTAGCATGCAGTATACATACGTAAATATGTGTATGATAAATGAACTGATGAAGAGTTATATACAACAAAAAAGATCAGGAACTTTCGTGCTAACTGAATCAAAGTAAATTAAGTAAAAATTAATAAATAAATAAATTATTTGTTTCAAGTAGTTCCCCTTCAACCCTCTTAGAAAGTTTATCAAATCCATTTTCTGTAATATCAACTTTACATCGTTGATTCAGTAATTCTTATTCAAGAAATTTTGTTAAATACACAACCCTGGTGCACTGGAAGGTAATTGTTCGGAAAAATAATGTATAATATCATACCATTTCTTACTTATCATAAATATATATATTTGAACTCATAGTGCAAATATATGAGTACTTAATCCTACTCAATCTGAACTAAAATTGTAAACTACATATCATGGTGAGATGAATAATAAAACAATCCGATATTTATAAATTTATATGTTTGTAAAAACTCGTTGGACGATTTGAAAGAATATTATTGTACACGTAGGTAACTCTACTCCAGCCTTTAGGGTCCACCAGAGGAGGTGATGCGCGGCAGCCACGCACGGCATGCCTCCCCGATACTGACCAATCACAGCCTCTCGTCACCCCGAAATCCTTGTGGGTCCTGACAGTGGGCGGGGCCTGAGTGACGAATGACATTTTCTGATTGGCTTACCAGCGGGTTACCATGACAACCGCACCCTTCATTTCAAACACGAAATAACTTATGGGGACTTTAAGGCATCGTTTTGCGCATTGCCACTTACTACTATAGATAGATATGCAAATAAATAGAAGATTGATAAATAGATTGATAGATAGATTAATTCCTTTAGTAAAATCGTCATACAAGATAACGTTGGTTTAGATTTTATAAAGGTAATATAGGAATACAAACAATTGTAAACAGAAAGGACAGCCCAAGAGAGGCATTAAAACCTTTATTTCCTCTGACTTGTTGTGACTGGATGAGAGAAATGGTGGAGGAGATGGATGAAATGCTGATACAAAATGTCACGCTTTATAATGCTATGAATTTAGATAATAATGTGTTTCGGATGTAAAAATACTCCAGTGTTAATTACAAGGGGAAAAATGTCGTACTTTCAGACAGTTAATTGTTCTTTGCATGTATTTCTTGATATTTTAATACCAGTAAAAAACATTAGCTATACATATCCCTAAAAAATTAAGAAGAAATTATTAATTCACACAAAACATAGCCTTTCAGTACGACGATATGCTTATTTGGCGAATCGTATTTCTAGTTTGGCGGATCAACACCTAAGGTTTTATATTAAATACTAAAATTTTTAGTATTTTGAATGATTAGAAAAAATTATAAACATCTGAGTAAATAAGAGAGTAGTTGTTCTTATTTTGTGTTATTCAATGCATCTTTGTTTTCCACTCAGACTTCGAGGATGACTTCGGCAGGTTTTATTCTCAAGGGGTTCATACGGTCCTTCTCGAATAAATAAACCTAAAGGCTAAAGTTAAGCCATTAACCTGTTAACCATTTGAGGACGAGAGGGTTAAACCATTATCCCAAAAAGGTTAAATCATCGTCTCCAGAAGGTTAAACCATCATTCCCATAAGGTTAAACCATCGTCCCCAGAAGGTTAAAACATCGTCTCCAGAAGGTTAAACCATCGTCCCTGGAGGTTAAACCATCGCCCCCAGAAGGTTAAACCATCATCTGATAAACCATCGTATTATTAAACCTCTGTCCTCGAAGGGTTGAAACATCACCACACTTGTTATCTGTCCTTGGTACCTCCTCCAGTCTGTTTAGCCTTTGCCTTATGAGTCCACGAACCATTAGCCTTACTGTTACCTGTTGTTCTGTTGTTGAGTCTTATAATGAAGTGCTAGTTGA